AAAAGAAGGATCACTTCCAATTCATTATTGATAAAATTATTGGAAGAATCCATTGTTTAAACGTTACTCGGCTGTCTCAACCGCAGAAGTTAATTTTCATTAACTCAATCCTTGTTGCGATGGCATCCCACGTGCTTGCTTGCTATGAGCTGCCACTTTCTGTTACCGGGAAAATTGATTCCTTGCTCATGCGCTTCTTTTGGGCACACTCGGACAACAAAGGCCTGCACTAGGTAAACAAGGATACCATGCATCTTCCTCGCGGATTAGGGGGCTTGGGTATTCGCTTTTTGTCTTCTTTAAATAAGGCGTATCTAATGAAACAGGTTTGGAGAATCGTTACCAACCCGCAGCTTCTAGTCTCCAGAGTTTTCAGTGCTCGCACAACCTTTCTGTCCAACAATGATAGTACTCGGCCTCGGTACTCTGGTCGGTATTCTTATGGCCTTCGGGGGTTACTTAAGGCGGACACTCTTTTGAAACAGGGTTGTAGTTGGAAAATTGGAAACGATCAGTCTACTTTAGCTGGTTCTGCTAAGTGGGTCAATGGGGGCATTCCAGAGTTCAAACCTGGAATTACTCTGCCAAATGGCACCCCACATACTGTCAGTTTTTTTATCAACCAGCAAACGATGGAGTGGGATGATACTAAAATTGTGGATTCGTTTGTTCCTGCGGATGCCTTTGCTATCCTAGCTATGGAACTTCCTGATACTACTCAAGATGATTTCTGTTAATGGACGGGTACCCCTGCTGGAAAGTACTCAATTAAGACTGGCTACGCAATGCTTCAACAACAACTTTCTCCTTCTTCTACACCTTCCGCTACTGACTCCTTTTGGAAGGTTCTTTGGTCTCTTCAGTTGCAATCGAAATGGAAGTTGTTCTTATGGAAGTTGTTACATCGTGCTCTAGCGGTCAAGGTTGAACTCAATCACAGAGGAGTTCTGATTCAAGATGTTTTCTGTGACCTCTGTAGTACGGAACCAGAGGATTTACAACACCTTTTCAGGATGTGCGCCAGCGCGCGTTCGATTTGGAGGGGTGGATGCCTCGGCATTCGCTCAGAATTTAATGGAGACCTTTCTCTCTCAGATTGGATCCAAGAATATATCCGACTTTTTATCAGTCAGGATGGACTTTCAAGTGCTCGCTTAGGTACTTTCATCGGTACGCTTTGGACCTTGTGGTTATGCCGTAATTCTAGAGTCTTTAGGGATTCATCGTCGTCTAGGCCTTTTGATTCGATGTTTGCGGAGGTCATGGAGAATCATTTTGTCTTTGTCAACTCTAATTGCATTCATGTTATTGCGGAGGCTAATGGTGGTTCTTCTTCTCCGCCTGGGTTTTACAGGGCTCAGCTTGGCCTGCACCCCCATGACAGGAGTTTACTCTTACTTCAGATTGATGGCTCCTGCTTTAAAGATTCTCTACAAGCTGGAATGGGTTGGTGCATGGATAATGAGGATCCGTTGGATGATCGGATTACTAGAGGTAGCAACTATGGGGTTTGCTCCTCTCCTTTACATGCGGAGGCTTTAGCTTGCTTGTATGGGCTTCAATGGGCTTTACATTTCGGGATTTCGTCTCTTACGGTTTTTACTGATTCACATAATCTGGTCTCCTTGCTTCATGGAGAGGGTCAGAGTAGCATCGCTTATAAATGGCTTATTCGGAGAATTTTGCAACTTGCCTCGCGCTTCCAGGTTTGTGGTATTCATAAGGCGGATCGCCAGCGCGTCCACAGAGCTCACCAAATTGCCGGAAAAGCGGCAATTCACTCTATTTGTTTTAATATTAATATGTAGTTGTTTGTATCCTTTGTCAAAAAAAAAAAAAAAAAAAAAAAAAAAAAAAAAAAAAAACCTTCAAAGAAAATTGTAGCACATTAAAATAAATTCAAATAAGATTTGAGAAATTCAAATTAATAATAAAAAGTAAATTTGGACAAAATAAGTTCTAATACAAATTTAGATGAATTAGGATAAAATGAGTGGTATATATATATCCCACGAGTCGACATACTTAAAATTCAAAGCTGCCTTCAGGTTTAATTATAATGTAATGTGAAAACTGAGAGCTTATCAGCTCTCAAGTCTTCAAAAAGAATGTTAACTTTTGGAATCTTGTTTACCTTTTCCTTTTTGATCACAAAATTAAAATAATTTGGCATTTCGTTCCGTAATACCCATCTTTTTCAATTTTTGTGGAATTGTAACTAGAGCTGTCAAAAGTTAACCCAACTCAAAATACCGATTCAAACCCGATTATTAACCGAACCATCTGAACCAGAAAAAGTGGTGACTCAGACCCGACCTGAAACCAACCCTAGACCCGAGTTGACCCGAGTATGTGAGACCCAAACCCGAACATGAACTGACCTGGAGATGACCCAACCCGAATGTAACCCGTAAATTATTGACCTGAACCGAACCCGACTTGAACTGAAATTGACCCAAACCCGCTGTAACCCGTCAAAACCCGAATTGTTACTAACCTGACTAGAATTCAACCCGACCCGTTCCTAACCCGACACGAATTTAACCCAACCTGTTACAAACCCGACCGAAATCAACCCGACTTGTTATTAACCTGACCCAAATTCAAACCGACTTGTTATTGACCCGACCCGAATTTTACCAGACCTATAACTAACCCGACCAAAAAATTCAATCCGTTTTGTGGATCAAAGCATTTTGTCTAGGGAGAGCAAGTCGGTCCACGGCAGGCCAGCAAAATAAAGGAGCATCATCCTCAAATTTAAGAATTAAATATCGTATACTTCCTCCGTTCTTTTATTATTGCATCATTTGCCTTTTAGGAAGTATCACAAATATTGCACCATCTCCTCTTTAGGAAAAAAATTATTTGTGTTCACACTACAAATACCCAACATACCCTTGCTTTTTCACACTTACTTTTTAGTTTATCAATATGTCACATGGGCAATTTTAGTTCCCTAGTATATATTGCCATATATATTATAGTCACCGGAAATGATTAGCTTGATAAAAATGATAATTATCTATTTATATTTAGTTGTTGAACCCAATATGACCTGTCTTATAACCCGACCTGATTGTAACCTGCAAATTATTGACTTGAACATAACCCGACTTGAAAATGACCCAACCTGATTTTAACCCGCAAATTATTGACTTAAACCGAACCCGACTTGAACCCGAGAATGACCCGACTTGAAAATGACTCGACCTAATTATAACTTGCAAATTATTGACTCGAACCAAACCCGACTTAAACCCGATAATGACCCAACCTGATTCTAACCCGCAAATATTTGACTTAAACCGAACCCGAAAATTGCCCTAACCCGTGAAAACCCGAATTAAACACGACCTATTGTTCACCCGACTCGAATGTAACCCGACCCAAACCCGATAAGAAATATATGGAATTAATCCGAATTGACCCGACCCGAGTTGACCCGACCCACTCTTACCGACCTAAACCCGACCTGTTTACCCGAATTGACAGCTCTACTCGAAACTCTGAAATTTCTCAAAAAAAACGTGGATATTAGCCTTCATTATGGAATTTCTTGACTTTTTTCACCCGGAGATAAAAAATGCCGAAATGTTTACCATGGTCCCTAATATCCTCCCGGAGTCCAATTGGATGAGTGAAACCATCCAATTTGCCTTTAAACGACCGATTTACCAGTTTACAACTTGCACCGATATCATTAATTCAAGCCTGCCACGAACATTAATGACAACATATAATGATCATATAGATTTCCAAACGGCATTATATGACCCCGAGATGTATCCTCTAAAATCTCAATACTTTTCGACACCGGGCCCTCAAATAATCGAAATTTCTCAAAAAGCGTGGATATTAGCCTTCAATTTTGGAATTTTTTGACTTTTTTACGCTCGGATATAAAAATTGCCGAAATGTTTACCATAGTCCCTAATACCCTCCGGGAGTCCAATTGGGTGGGTGGAACCATCCAATTTGCCTTTAAACGATCAATTTACCGGTTTACAACTTGCACCGATTTCATTAATTCAAGCCTACCACGAACATTTATGACAACAAATAATGATCGTATATGATTCCAAGCGACATTATATGACCCCGAGATATATTCCCTAGAATTTTAAAACTTTTCGACACTGGTCCCCGAAGACTCTAAAAATTCTTAAAAAGCATGGATATAGCCTTCAATTTTTGAAATTTTTGACTTTTTTTCCCCGTAAAAATTGACGAAATATTTACCATGGGTCTCTAATACCCACCGGGAGTCCTATTGGGTGGGCGGAACCATCCAGTTTGCCTTTAAACGGCCAATTTACTGATTACAACTAGCGTCAATTTCATTAACTCAAGCCTACCACAAACATTTATGACAACATATAATGATCATATATGGTTTCAAATGACATTATATGAACCCAAGATATATCCCCTAAAATCTAAAGGCTTTTTGACACTGGGCTCCGTAAGCTCCAAAATTTCTCAAAAAACTTGGATATTAGCCTTCAATTTTTTATTTATTTTTTTACTTTTTTTCGTCCAGAAATAAAAATTGTCGAAATGTTTACCATATTCATGTGAAAATCTAAAATTTTGATTAAAATATCTAAAGTTTTACTCTACTCTTTTAAGTTGCCTTGGTGGCTGAAGGTGTGCGCGGTGAAGGTTTGGTGGGTTTCAGCAATTAAGGGTTTTCATTTTGAGTGGTGTTATGGTAATTTTGGGGCTGGTGAAATTGAGAGGTGGTGTGTGTTTGACTTATCAGGAGTTGTAGTAGTTGGGGCAGGTGGGTCGGATGGTGGCAAGGTCAGATTAAGAGGATTGATTGGGGCAGGTGGGTCGGCCGGTCGGGTGGTGCTGTGGTGGTAAGGTCAGATTGTGAGGATTAATTGGGGCAGTGGTTGGCATTCAGAAAGGTGGTCAAGGTTGGTCAAATGCTCTAGCTGCTTAGACAAGCTTATGCAGGGAATCAAAATAACGGGAATGGGATTTATGGTATGTATTATGTAAGTGTTTTCCTAGGAATCGCTTGAATAAAAAAGCTGGTACATTTTCTTAATACTAACCATCAAAAATCTCATGTTTACACAAGGGAATTTTGAATTACATATAAAATGCAGGTGGTCGCCAAAGTATAAAGTCACCACTCTAACTTAAGTAAACAGGTACAACTTGTACAAGGTAGAACAACAGGTGGTGCATTGACGAATATCACTATTACAAATTATCCAACACTAAAAATTGGGTTGCACTAAAATAATTTTACACTTTTATTTCTTCCATTTCTTCAGCCCAACAGGAGTGGAAAAAAAACATTCACAACTGTTGCAGTCGACCTGTTATGCTAATCTTTTGTAGACTTACATTAGGGCTATGTGGTTGAGAAGGGTGACAAATAGCATGATCATAACAAGATACGCACCACAGCAAGGCCAACAGCAGAGATTGAAACAAGGGTACCTATGCAGTATTTGATGACATCATATTTAGCGGCCTCCACTTGTGCCCTTAACGCATGAATTTCCTGAAAATGACAAGTAAAGCATGAGAAAAATAATGTGGAACCACCAGCTTGATCTGTAATGAGTCATGAACCAAGTAATCCAGTAATACTCACCCTATCAAGCTTATTGGTAAGATTATTTGTTTCTGCAGTTTGATTTGCCAATTCATCCCGAATCCTCCTGCAGTTTATGGCACCAAAAAGGCAATAAGAGCGTAAATTACAGAAATACTTTCAATTTTATAGATGCAAGGTTGACATTGTGTACCCTTTTTCAAGATTCAAATCCAATCGCTGCCCAGCAGTAACTTTGTCAATCTCATACCTGCATCAGATTTCAGAGGATCTAGATCATGGAGACTATGGAAAAGAATGGTTGGTGACGCCAATCAACCCCACATTGTTTCCTTGAACAAGTCCATCCCAATCTAGAGATAAGGATTACTAAGATAGTATCGGAGTATTCCAATCTCCTCAAAAGCTAGGAGGTAAATCGCTAAATCCCTATAATTCCAAGGTTTTGAGGGAAGGTAAACAAAAAACAACCTTGTCCACTACACATCACAACATTTCAGCACAACACAGATATGACAGAGAAATTAACCTTGATAACACAATTCACAAGGTTTTTTGTAATGTTAAGCTGACCTCAATTCACTACGCATCTTCTCTATGTCACTCTGGAGTTTCTCAGCCTCCCTCTGCAACAGGGAAAAATGATGTTCCTGCAATTCAAAAATCCATGCAAGCTTTACTATAGTTGATCATTCACATAAATACCATAAAGATAGAGCAGTAAACATATATGCAAAATTTGCTTGTTTCAGTCATATACAAACCAATATCCCATATATAGTTTTTCTATTTTCTATTAGACAATAGGAAAGTCAATATGGCTTTTGTTAGGGCACAAATTGTCAAAGACTACCAAGCATTACTACAAACAAACATTTTATTCATGTGATCTTGACAGGAATTACTAAAGTTGTCCAAAACTGAACCTCAAGATGCAAAAACTTAAAAGTGAACAGCAGAACTAGACCAACAGAATCATGTATGTGAATAGGAGAGAGATAGAAGCAAGGGCAAGGAGCATGAGAACCACAAGGTCTATGATATTAAACACAAATCACATACCGTAAAACAAGAAGGATGGTATGACTGTTAAAACCTAGGTTTATGTTATTAAGTACAGTAACAATATATCACTATATCAATGTCTTCTGTGGGATAACAATCACCACCCTTGGAAGCACAAAAATTACAATCAAGTAACAAGCACCCAAGCCTCCAAGAGGGCATCACTAAAAACTAACCAAAAATAAACACATACCCTAAAATAGCAAGGAAGCTAATGGATACTGATCACCAAATCTAGGAATGAACGCTTAAAGCTTAAATTCGAGTTTCACAAACAATAGCTTTAGAGGATCTTGTTCCTCTAAATATACTCCAATTCTCCATCTCTCTATTGTTCATAAATAGCTGCAGCCAAAACGCACCTTTTAATCAAAAAAATATTAAAAAACCAGAATAACCAGAATAATCTTACACCCCCTCACGGCATCACATCACCCATCCACCAAGAATTCACTGTCTTCAACAGCCATCCACTGTACTGCCAGCAAAGCTGGAGGGTAACAAGCACAAACTTGAAATAATTTCCATTGCAATAACCATGAAGATGGCATTCTTCTTAAAATAATAAACAGTGAATTTTCAATTCTCCAACTCATATTTCTCTTCAATGCTACACCTTAGTACTTAACAAAAGCAAATGTTATTCACGAATCACCATTACAAAAAGCCTAATAACCGGAACCCCAGGTAATTGACCTAATTGTCAACAGAGTTTGTTGAGTTTTTTAGTTAAGCAAGAGAAAAAATAAGAGAAGAATGCAATAGAAGGGGAGATAAGTCACTGGTAAATTCATTCAGAAAATTGTGGAAACTAATAGATAGTATGGGAGAGAAATAAAACATCAGATATGGTAGATTTGTTATGACTTATCAATACTAATTCAATCCTTGGCCCTAACTACCTAGAAAGTATTTCTGTTCTTTTTGTGTTAACTACTTCCCTGCTAATTTAATGGCTATTGTGCCGTGAGAAGAGAGGATAGCTGGGAGCCAGGCAAACATCAAAGTATGGCTAGAGTGATTCCCACAAGTCCAATGGAGTTGGTGAGAAGTTTTGGGTAATTACCAATGTACTAAGTTTTCTCAAACCAGACATTTTGTAGAATAGAAAAAAGTTTCACATATACCCCACCAACAGTCCAACACCACAGCCAAGACAAGATGCAGAAATGGCTAATGACTTGAATTTCAAAATGATAATCATCCATTCAAATTTCAAAATTCATTGAATTCCATAACAGCCAATCTTATGTTACATTCTTACTACAATAATTTCACAAGATTGGTGTCTTTATTTTTCAAATCAACACTTGATTGAATCCTTGTGCCTCGGTGGTAACGAGTCACCAAACACTTTCTTGATAGCGAAAGCATGATTTCCTTTCCACGGGCAATTTAGTATCAACTACATTAGGGAGACCTTACAGCGCATAATTCAGCTTAAGGCACAGGCTAATTAAATAGCAGCAGCATCCATATCAGTAAAGACACAAATTAGAGCATATACCTGCGAGCTCTGTACTTCAGATTTGAACTTAGCTAAGTTAGCCTCTTGCATCATCTCAAACTACAGAGAATGCAAAATAGGTTAGGCATCAAAACACACATTTATAAAAAAAATGAAAGAAAGAAAGAAAAGACATACTCTTTGCATCTCAGGCTTAGACATAAAAGATTGAGCCACATTTTCCAGACTATCATTCAAAACCTCGGTAATTGCAGCTGTAATGACCTCTGCTTGCTTGGATGGTATACCTTGAGCTTCTAATTTCCTAACCTAATCAAAATCCTCCAAATAAATCAATTCGATCAACCAATAATGCTACAGCCCAAAGTAGATAGAGAACTTACAAGTGCTAAAGTATCAACGAGAAACAAGCGTCTGCCATTAGAAGTCACTAGCTGAGAAATATACTTAGCGTCGATATACCTACTTCCATGTCGATCATGCGGAGACGATGAATATAATCGATTAGCGTTCAGACCATACAAATCCCTAAATTTCCTAGATTTTATCAATGAATTTGTACCTAATTCATGAACTCGCCTGCAAATTGTTGCAGCCGCCATTCCAATACAAATATAATCAATCAATTCCAATTCCAATTCCAAAATCAAAATAAACCCTAATTTGTTTCTCTAACAAAACGATGGGAAAATAAGATCTCAAACTATTATTATTGTGTTGGAATTTGTGAGGATAATATTGCTATCAGGATTTTGAGACTTGACAACGTTAATTTCATTTCTCACTCTTTCTTCCTTTCTTAAACAAAAAGCTAACAATGGCAGTTACAACGTGTACGCTTTTTTTTTTTTTTTAATTAAAGAAATTATTTGTTGGGTAATAAACTTATAACTTAGGCCATGGTCTTTTGAGCCTGACTGATATACTCTGTTCTATGAGGTAAAAATAAGCTGATTTGCTCTACTTTTAACACTTACTCTCTTGAAATCTGCTCTACTCAAAAGTTCAAAAGAACGGGGATTAAAGGGTGAGAAAAAACCAAGGTACCCTGAATCGAAACCTGTTTAGAGCTGCAGGTTTTACAACCGAAACTTGTACAAGATGTTTCGGTTTCGAGTAGTAAAATGGGGAACCTGTCGCAACAAGTTCGGATTCTCAATTTTTTGGAACCAGATATTGTAAGTTCCCTTATATAACTTGATAAAAGTATCACTTAAGTTTAAATTATACACCATTTATCACCAATATTTTAAATAATAATTATCAAAATAACTATTATAAATATATGTATTAAATTTGCTAAACAACTACTCCGCACTTTATTTCATTTCAGAGTTGTAAACATCGAGTATAAATTAGTGACCTTCCAGTTTTTTTATATTAAAAAAATCTGCAGAAAGTTATTAAGTATATTAAAATATAGGGTACTATATATCGGAGAGGTTGTTATATACACCCGGGTGTACCGTACACCTATAAGCATTTGTTTCCATTTTGATGATTGATTTTCGTTTAATCATCAAATGAAAAGCAAAAACTAACCTTAAGTTAATTGAGTGTACGGTACACCCGGGTGTATATAACAAATTTCAGTATATCAAAACCTGAACTTGTAGGTTCTGGTTGTGGTTCCTAGTTTCCTAGCAGACTAAGGTGTTGTTTGGTACACCCGAGTGTTGTTTGGTTCACAAAACTTGCAATCTAGGAAGTCTTTAAATAAGCCCTATGAAGGTGTGTACTGTAAAGCTTGAGTGGAGCTAAAGAAAAAGGGGGGTAATGATAGCATTTGAAAGTTGGAAGACCAAAACTTGCAACATTAGCTCAATTTATTAGGGAGCTCATTACAATTTGAGTCTGGTTTGCAAAATTTATACATTGGATAACTTAGTACAATACAATATCAGATCATTATGATACAGTGAGAAGAGCCTAGGAACAAAGCCATATACACTCTCCTAAAATGAAAATAAAATTTAGAAAAAAGGACATAAAACTAACTTGTAACAATTGTTAATACAACTTGTATCTCCATTCCTATAAATTATAGGCGCAATATCACTTTGGACGTCTATAAAGTATATCATCAACACTTTCTTTCACATAGTTCCCCACTTTCCGCATGTTTCTAGCTACTCCAGATGCAACAAGGCCTGCATTTCTTGAAAATCTGCCACAAACAGTTATAGTGTTCAGAGCTAATATCAAGTTGGCAAATTATATATCCACAGAATTGCAACTTGCCTCACTAGGAACTCCTCCCCCATAAGATGAGGTGTTTTAGACGGTCGGTGCTGAGGAAGGCCGCGATCATCTGTGAGATGAGGATCACTAGACAAGTTATTCCAAAATCATGCATGATTTGTATATAATATTGTGTATCATTTTGCAATCCAATTTAGCCCTATGTGACAAAAAATGTACGCAGGACTGCAAATTTCTCTTCTTTATTCACCTGACAGCACTCCACAAACATTCAAGTCTTACTACCCTAATGCTCTATGGCGAGAGAGAGACAAAGAGAGAGGTTCTTGTCATTTTTCATACAATATTCATCTCATCAGATCTATGTAAATTTATTTATTTGCAACAGAAGATGATGATGCTATAATTGGCTACAAAATAAAAGCGTGATGAACTACAAACCAATTCGCATAACAAGACACCACCAATTCAACAATCATCTTTGGACTATAGTTGATACTTGATTGTAAACAATTAATCATCTGAATATCATATAACAGAACCCAATGGCTGTCAAACGACAATGACACAAATTTCCACATTGAAAAGAGAATTTCACCTGCACATGCAGGCAATGCAGCAAAGTCAGCTTTCTCTTTCGATCAGACAGCCCTTTTGATCCTCTCAACCCTTCTCCCAACCAAAACAGCAACCCTAACCCTAACTCACCATTGTTTTGATTGGAAAAAAAATGAGGTGTGGGATGTGGGAAGGAGAAGTGTCTTAGCTTAACAAGCATGACCACACCCTTAGTATAAAGGAAGATATAAAGAAGCAACTAAGTTAGTGAGGTGCATGAAGAAACGTTAAAGAGCAGCAAGGAAGAGCTAATGATGGAAGCATTGAAAGTGAGATGCAACAATCTTATCAATCTCCATAAGTTTTAATTCTCATCAATAAGTATCCCAAAATGCACACTCTAGAATTTGTCACTACAGCATCATTAATGGATGTGTTTCTCAAATTATACAAGGAAGGCTAATCAGGGATCAAAATGCAAATCTTAAGATCAAACTCAGAAGTTTCAGGTTGTTCCTCGTACTCAGTACTGTATGAAACAGACAACTATAAAGAAAAAATTGAACTGGAAGATGAAAGACAGAGATTCAACTAAATATCTAGCAGACTACCTGTTTTGTTAATTGAGGGCAAAAGCAAATAGTTCTACAAAGCGGCAGCAGAAGTTCTCTCTCCCTTCTCCAGCAGTCCAGCTTCCATAATCCATACATTTCTTAACTTCTTTCTTTCCCTCCCTAAAAGTTCTTAAAGAGAAAAAATAGAAGCCTATGTCCATCAAAAGAGTGTTTAGCTAATGTGTGTATAAAAAAGCTTATTATCCTATCCGTCAACAACAGCCCTTGGAAATTGAAAATGCCAACACCAAAACAGAACTGCATGGTTCTGTGACTAATTTGACATATAACACAAGGATAACAATTTTATTTTTCACTAAAATATTACCATGTATATAGTAATGTTGCAAGTAATAAGATATCTCCCCAAACAGAAATGTTGCAAGTTACAAAAACGAAGGAAGTTTGATAGGAGAAGCTTGAATGAACACTACAGAACCTGAGTTAATTTATATGACAAGACTTGAACAATAGACAATGTAAACAGAGAGCTGAAACCCCGTTGCACTTATGCTGCATTATTTCAGGGTATTCCAATAATCCAATGCTATCAAACTATTCCGTATATATGTAAGGTCATCTAAGCAAACAAAGCATTTCAAAAACGAAAATACTTATTCCTGGTAATCAGTCTTAAGGACTCTTAACACAGTAGTGCACAACCACGCAAAAAAAAAAAAAAAAAAAAAAAAAAAAAAAAAAAAAAAAAAAAAAAAAAAAACCTACAAGCAGATTATGATTGGATCAAGTGCACAAGACCAAAGCTATGCTCTCTTCACCTTATTGAAAAAATAGATATATGAAGTTTACACATTGAATTGAATCTAACAAGACCCTACTATCTAACAAGACCAAAGTGTATTTTATACATTGAAATGAATCTAACAAACATGGTCAATATTCACTCAAGTCAGACCAAACCAGAAAAATTCACACCACACAATAAAAAAAAGAACATTATACAAGGTTAAGAGAGCAATTTAGATGTACTTGTATTAATTTACTGCAAAATATCTTTAAATGCACACCAGTATATATTATGAAATCTAGAAATTTGAAAAATTCACAAGTAGACATCTAATAAGACCCCATAAGAACAATGGCAAAAAAAATGACAATCAATTACAGTGATTCAATACAAACACCAAAAAAAAACACACACACACACACATTCTTTAGTTATGAGGCTTGGCTCAGTAAACAGATGTACAAACTAACACAGAGCCACTACCTAACAACTGTCTAACTTGTCGTTAGGATAATACAATACTATATACAAAACTGTTTGATACCAAGCAACAGAAAGGGAACATCCAACACAGCCCTCATTTCTTTCATTTACCATTCCTCATATCAGATGAATATATCTCAAGCCAACATCTACACTCAAAGAAAAACTGGAAATAAACATACCATAGAAGCTGAAAAGCTAGCCTGGCAGCCAGATTAATAGGATATTCCAATTACAACAAAGTGAGGCGGTGGCAACGTGTTATGTAATCATCTTACCTTCCTTATTTTGAGCATGGGAGGGGGCAGAGGCCGGGATCGGAGCAGGGGCATTATGATCAACAGGCCTTTTGTCCACCAAAAGCTGCAAAAATAGTAAACATCACAAGTATAAACAAATGTCTAGAAAGAAAACCAAAGTTAAAGCACAACCACAAAACCTATTTGGGATTCCAGTTTTGATTATCCAGGACAATGACAATTGTCATATACTTGTATGCAATAAATCATGATGATGCCAATACAATATTGTACAAAATATTGTCATTGGACACAATCCAGATAGTTCCCATCTTTCATATACTAATAAGAAATGGACAACCCACAAGAAACAGATTACAGGAAAGAACCATACCTCAACACCAACACAAACAGGAAGCTCTGCTCGAGGTTTTTGTTCGCCATTCAGAGGTGCTGCTTCATTTTTATTATTCAAATAAATGGAGTAACCAACACAAGCATACTTGAACTCTGTTAGACTGCGTCCTTCTTTAGAGGCTTCAACTTCAGATTCGCTTACAATATAGCTAGGCACTGATCAACACAAACAATGATCACAGTAAAATTAAATTAATTTTCTTAAACAGCATTTCAGATTGAGGAAAAAAAAAAAAGAGTGCTAAAGCAGCCAAATTCCAATGTTATTGAACAATCAAAACACCAATTATACCACTTACACAAATTTTCCATTACTCAGCTCACGCACTGACTATAAGATCCAGGGATACTGTCCTAAGCAAACAATTTATAACAACAAAAACTCTAATGACCCATTTGGTAGGTGGTAGACATTGGTAATATTGGGATGGAATTTAAGTGTAATCCTGCACGTATCATCCGAATGTCCAGAGTAATGCAATACCATCTCCAAGCTCGTATTTTCATCATAAATTTACAATACCACATAAAAAACCCCACAAGTTGTAATGGTGGCAATGAAGATCTATAAAGATAAGAGATACTAAGGGGTGAGCTAGCATTACATGGGCATTAGCTTAGTTATAATCTTACATTCTTACATTTTGTAATTAAGATTCATTCTCATAGCCTGCTTATTATAATCAAACAAATGGCTATCAAGAAACTCCTATTCGAATCAATTCTCCGATGGAATGTTTGAGCTTGAAGCAAAATTTCAAAGCAAAAACTACAAATTTAAAAATCAAACACTGGGATTATCCAATTTCCTCTAAAATCAAACATTTCTCAGGCATAAAGTCAGAAACTTCAAATTAATCCGAGGACGCCAAACAACCCACAATTAGAATCCAGACACTTGAACAAGAAAGCCTCAACCACCCCCTACCCAAGATTTTTTTTTTAAAAAAAAAAAAAAACCAAAATGTACAAAAATGTCAAGCTAATACAGTAATACCCCATTAAAGTGCCTCAAAATTGGCAAAAGAAACCCTAATTATAATAAAGAGAAAGACTTTATTCCCTAAAATTAGTGAAATACAACCCTAAATAATAACAAAATGAATAAAAAAAAAAAAAGGGACATACAACCTTGTTGAAGGGATCGAGTGAAGCCGACGCAACGAGGGTTACGGCCTTTGGATTTGAGGTGGGAAGAAAAATAGAGAGTGCCTTTACAAGATTTGCCCTGACGACCTTTATCAGTTTCTGGGTTTTTAGAAGGAATCTCCCTAACCCTACCTTCCTCGTCATCATCTTGTCCTTCCCTCTTTCTCTTCACCTCCATTGATGCATCTGTCTGTTTATCTTCTTCAATTCCGCTGGACATGTCTCGTCTCAGATTTTATTTTCTTACAAAACCAGATTTCCGATCAGCAGCTCATGATATACATATAAACAGTACTCCGTATACAACTGGGTCAGCCGCTCTCAATTTTTATACTTCTCCGTTCTTATTTTATTTGACATGCCATACCCCTACTAATAATCCTTTTGTATCTCGTATTACTCCCTCCGTTTTTAAATACTTTCTTCATTTCTTCATATGCGGAGTTTTAGGAGAAATTAGAGAAATTAATAAAATATGGAGGTAGTGGGGTAGTTGAGAAAATAAAAAATTGTAATAAGCAAAAGTAGTAGAAGAATAGGAGGAGGGAGAGTATGATGTTGGGTCCACTAAGTGTGAGAAATGAATTAAATACTGTAAGAGCTTTCCAAAAAAGAAAATGGAGCAAGTATTTTAAAACGATCGGAAAAGGAAAGTGGAACAAGTATTTAAAAACGGAGGGAGTACTTTAATTCTTTGGAAAATTTGTGAGGAAGATTTTTAAGTAGACTATTTTTTAGAGAGCCACAAAGGCGGGGGTAAGAATCGATCCCATGACCATTTTTAAGTAGACTTTTTTGTGACAAAAATTCTTTTATAAAAAAATTTTAAAAATTAAAAAAAAAAAGGCACAAAAGGTCCTTATATCATGTTTAGGTTGTGAGGAGGGTCCCTTGACCATTTTCCGGCGTTGACTTTTATATTTCCCGGCCAAAAAAGTTACACCTAAGTTCCCTTTTTTCTCCCTCCTCTTTTACCTCGTTTTCCCTTTTTACCCGCTATTAAAACCTAATTTCTCAAAATAATTAACACCAAAATTTCAATTATAATCCCATAAATTAAAATTGAAGGTTATTCAAAGTAATTCAAGGCTAATCCTCCGCACAATGAGAGAAAACAAGGAAAAAAGGGAACTTAATAAGACACGTGCTTTACACGTGGCTTTTTTGGCCGAAAAATAAATAAGTCAACGCCGGAAAATGGTCAAAGGACCCTCCTCACGACCCAAACATGATATAAGAACCTTTTGTGCCATCTTTCTTATAAAAGGGCCTTTGTCACAAAACGGTCTACTTGAAAGGACATTCCTCACAAATTTTCCACTTCCTAAATAACTATATGGATAGCAAATTTGTGTTAATATTCAATTATCAGTAATTTATGATTGAAACAAATAGGATCCAAGATACCCCGTATATAACAATGGTCTTCCTTTATTTTTATTGATTATTTGTTACAACAGCATTCTTCCATGCATCTATGAGACTATACAACAATAGAAGAAGCCAAACTTTACCATCACTGTTCAGAAGTAAACAGCCTGGTGTTGCTGATAAAAAAAATATTAACCAAGGGCAAGAAAGTTGAGTATTAAGAGTTAGCTTGAAGTATGATACTCTAATTTTTAGTAGCTGAGCTTCTGAAAACTGGAAAATATGTATCCAGCTCAAGTTGGTCCAAAATCTCTTGTGTTGCCCACAAATAGGATGAATGACCTTCAATGGTATCAGTTGCATCCACCTAAAGGAACATAAATATTAAAGTCAAAATTATTAGGCAGCAACAACTCCCTTCAAGTGGAACAAAACAAAAAGAAGAGAACATACATTCTCAATACCCGGAATATCAACCGCTTGGATTCCAGCTAAACCCTTAGAGAGAAGGCTGATCAATGGAAATTATCAGCTTCAACACCAGTATAAACAAAATTGTCCATTCATGAAATTCATGTTTGGATGTAAATCACACAACTCCAACCTCAACATGTACATGTGATTTGCTAAATGATATTAAAAAAGATTAGAAAAGTCAAGTCATGAATGCAATGTACACCAGCCATAGTTGCAAAGGGAAATGATGCTGATACTATTAAGGTTCTAACCAGTATTCACAAATGTATTATAGATTTATAGCAATAAACCAGATAACCACAAGTCCACAAGTAAATTATTCACTAAGCAAAAAATCAAAATTGTAGGATTGATGTGGTGTGGCAACCACTTTAAGATATCGATTTACTTTAGGAAAAATGTTCTTGTTATCAGGAATTCAGTCATCATCTAATGCTAGAACTCTTAAAGCATCCCATTCCATTACATATTTAGTACTAAGTATTTACATACCTAGCACGGAAGGCAACACCCAGCATCCAGTCATTCTGGGAATAAACATTGATAAATCTTCCAGCAACAACCTGCATAATGAATTTTAAAAAAAATCCAAGAATTACCATGACAGAAAAAGTAAAGGAGAATTGCCAGTAGTCAGAGGTCAATGAAATACTCTGTAACTGTTACCACTGCATAGAAATTTCAGATAAACAATGCAAAAGTACAATGATTGATAACTTTTGGATTACCTTTCGAACAGCTTCCCAATTTTCATCTTTGATTGGAATGGGTGCCCCAAGAAGAACAACTCTTTCGACAAGATTAGCTGTTAAATAAAATAAAATAAGAATGCATTCTCAGAATAATCATATAAGCATCCATCAACTGAAAAGTGCATTTGCATTTTGGGAAAACCGAAAACCATTCTTCACTTAGGAAATCTCTTCTTTTTTATTTATTTTTTGGTCATTAGGGGGTGGATTGAGGGAGCAGGGGGCATACCTTGATGTTCTGTTTTAGACAAATGTTGGAGGCACCTGAAAATTACCCTAGCTCCTAATGAGTAACCTACAAGTGTCACAGGCCTGAAGCGGATTTAGGGACCAAATAAGTACTGCAGAAAGTAATTGCCCAAAAACTATAACTATTAAAGAAGACTTATCCATCGATTTGTTATATGAAATACCTGTTCCCTTGCAACCCTTTCAATAGAACTTCAGCAAGTAGCTTTCCAGCTTTGTCCGATCTAAAATGTCATAAAAATTTAGGAGGCTGTGGCAAAAAATCTTTTACTGGTTGTAAAGCTATAAGAGATGAGCAAATAGATCATATTCCTTAATTTAAAAATAAGAAGATTAAGTCATTCAAAAAGAAAGATAAGAAGAGAGATCAGATTTTCCTCCACCAATAGCACTGTTAGATAGAAAGCAATTAATATTACTAAATCAAGATAGGTGTGTAATAGTGCTCAAGAAAAGGGTCAAAGCTTGGACCTGATTATTCAGTTTGATTGTAAAGTTGTAATAAAGTCAGACTTGAGACGTAAGAGCCAGGTACAAAGAAGATGGGAATTTTTTTAAAAAAATATCATAATCTGTGGCAATGGCCAATCAGGAGAATGGCGGTTAGATTCCCAATCAAAAAACAAAAAAACATGAGAACTTGAAAGATTTATCCCCCATAAAACTGGATTTTTGGACTAATAAACAAGAGATATTAGGCAGTTGCTGCAGTCATAGGATTAGAGGCCCAACCAAAAGATATTGAGAATGCAGTATACATATTTGCCATAGTGGCACTAGATGGAAACGGACCATCCTTATTTCTTACATAGAACCCTTCAAATTTTACAGTCAACACCTTAAAATCTTGCAGTCAACACCTTCAAATTTTGCAGTCTAAAGAATACCTGTCCACAGCAATTGTCCACTTGCTGTCTATAAAATCGGTAAGTGCAAGTAAGGTAGCTGGCCAAGCTAACGCAGTAAGAAGTGTGCTTAGTACTGTCAACATGGCCCCTTGCTTCATCAACCCCAAAGCAATACCTATGAAAATTAACAGAGTCATGTCATATATTCAAACCAATGTCGATACACTGGAAGCAGTGAAGCACTCCTAAGCAAGATCTTTGAAGTTCAATAAACATTACTTGATGTGAGCCAATCTTGTATTGCAGTACTGACAGCAATTAGATGCTTTGACTCCCATACCAGCACATACCTAGACATTTTCAGTGTCATATTAGTGAGAGAATAAAACTAGTATTTAGAACTCTTACATATACATTAAAAAAATGTAAAATAAAAAGTCTCAGAAAGTCAAGTAGGATCCGAATTGTTGTCGGCCACTGAAAATGAGAAGCAGTATATACTTTGTACCATTTTTGGTATGTCCCAGCTCTCAAAGCAAAGTTACCATTTTACTTTTGGTAAGTTTTCATTATGTCAAAATTTCTCTACAGATCAGAACAACACCCATCCAACCACTTTGCTCTCATTTTCTTTCCCACCTTAATGTCTTGCCTAAAGCAATGTTAACTTTGCTCTAGAATGAGGGAAGTACATAACTTTGGAGCTCATGTTAGATGGATGAAGCAAATAACGGATAATTGTAGAGCTAGAAAACAGCACTGTTCAAAGAAGATAACGGCAAGAAAATGATAATCTCGATTTCATAAAAATCATTTAACTTTTGTGGTAAAGGTAATGAGGTTAAATCACTAAGCTGCTAGTCTGCTATGTAGTTTGACCTATTCAATTGGTTCAATTACAATCATTACATTAAATGAACAAGTTTGTTGCTTTCTCTGTTTAGCATAACATAATATACATCCAATGACAAAAGTTGGTCATGCTACAAACACCGGCTGTAAAGTACCTTTCTAGGTTATTAGTTAGTCCTTCCCAGGGCATTATAAAGTCTTCCTCATCGAAGACAAATCCTGAAACCAAAATCCCGACTGCTAGTCGCTGAAAATAAGATTAATACAAGAATTAAAAATCATGTGTAAAGAAATCAATATATGAAAGGAAAGTGGGTAACAATTACAAGATAATACAGGATCAATAAATCAAATCGAAAATACTCACTCCTTGCCCGTGGTTTTCTCCTACAGCTTTGAACTCAAACTCATCAATATCTCCAATCCTCCTAGCCATCTTGGTACCACTGAGGCCAGCTCCAGCCGCTGCATAGATTTCAGCATGAAGCATGTGATATAAAGAAAACAACTATCTGGATTTGACATCATATCCTCAAATTCAAAGAAAGAGAAATGGTAGTTCAACTATAGAGAACAGAAATCAAAGTTAAGCTGAAAGAACTTTACCTCCAAATGAGGCAGCAATGGCAACAGAGCCAGCAACAGAACCGGCAACACTAGCTGCAGCTGCAAAACCACCAGCTCCAATCACAGGAATAATGGTCCCCAGAGTAGGGGCCAGAGCACTAAACCCAGCAGCAATTGCAGGGGCAGCTAGCCCTGTTGAATTCAGTATAATCAAACACGCTTGTTATTAAAAGAAAACATTCCCACATATAAATGAAATTGAGGAAAATATTAAGCTTATTTCATTCAAAAACAATGCATACCTCCTGTGATGGCCAGTAAGGCTCCCCCAGTTACAGCAGCAGCTCCAATGATGCCCCCACGCTTCCATTTAGCCCATGTACTCTTTTCTGAACCATTTTCTCCTCTTTTTAATTCTTCCTCCTTTACTAAAGCCATAACAGAGCAAGCAATCATAGTCTCCATTGCCTCCACTTTTGCCCACTTGACATCAAGCCAAGTTGCAAGTAATCGTAATGCAACACGATGTCGAGCATCATAGCCCTTTCTTTGCTTAGAGTTTTTGCTATTTTCTGACATAGTTGCAAGGCTTGCTGAAAGAAGTTGATATAGAACTGTTATTTTCCTCTCATAGCCAAGTATTCGCTCCTCCTCCGCTGGCTCCTCTTTGAATTTATATTCAGATCCTTGAGTGGGAAGTTGCTCAGGAACAGTTGCAATAGTTCTTTCCTGTATAGACTGGATGACCTCTATCTCATCAGTGGTTGATGGTGTCTCTGGCACCTCAGGGACAGAGCACTTTTCTCGGCGATCCTGTGCATACTCACGTTGCTTATCTCTCTTATTTTCAAAATCGGAAGAAGCTTCCATGCTAGCCTTCATACAATCAACACCTTTTGCCAAAGCAAGCTCTTGATCCTTTATTTCGGAGGAACTTTCCTCGCTTTCTTCTGAAAGCAGTCTCAGATACTGCCATGAGTCACAAGTAGTAACAACAATTATACGAGATTACAGAGTAAATGAAGCTGTAATTTTCATTCAAAGCTACTAAATTCAAAAAAGAAAACCTTAATCAATGAATTGAATATTTGGTATTAGATGTTAAGATTAAATTATAAAATAAGAGTCGAAAGCATTCTTTCTACGCTATGAAAAATGAATGAACATAATGTGTAACATGTTATAGAGACCCTAAATAATAAATTAGCCTTACAAAGAATCACTAACAATGAGTAATGTGTTATTGATGTAATAAGCATGCAATGAAATGTAAGAGGAATTAAAACAGAATATGAGAATTTGTAATCCATAATTCCACATAGTATGAATATGAATATGAATATGAATATGAATAATAGAGTAGAAAAAGAGAAAGAGAATGACCGCTCCAACATGATGAGAAGAATGTGAAGCACCAGCAGTCTCTTCAATCCCAGACCAGGCTCCAGAATCAATCTCCAGAAACCTTGAGGATGCAAAACAAATTTAATAAAATAAATAAATATAAATAAATAAACAAAAAGAGAATGCATAAGAAATTAACTGGAGAATGGGGCGAAGAAGAGCGGAATCGGGATGAACCCAGAGATGAGGATCTTCGGAGACAGAATCAGCACTGCTGGTAGTGCTACTTCCGGTGCTAATTCGCTGGTCATCGTCGTCTTCTATGTGATTCTGATGAGATGACCCAACACAAAGAGGCCGAGACTGATGAATCTGCGCCTCGTGAATTGCTAACCCGAATAACGTTCCTGCCGCGTACCTCTGCGTCGGAGATAGAAGCGCAGACGCCATTCTTGATCGCACCACTATTTCTTTTTTCTTTTTTCTTTTTAATTAAAATACTTGAATGTCGCCCTTTTCAGGATTTCTTTTTAAATACTTTCTTTCTTTTTTTTACAAGGATTTCTTCTAAAATACTTTACACATGGCACATTGGTCATTTTTAGGTTATTACTCTTATTATTGCTACTTAATAATCCAATTTTATATATTCAAAAACTTTTATATTTGACTTCTTTAAAATAGGATCTGATTGATTATCAACTCAACTAGCTTAGTTGATTCCCTCATTAAACTATATACTCCGTACTAGGTATATAAGCCTATAAGGAGTATAAATTAAACCAGCCTAGTCGCTCAAAGTAATAAGACCACTCGATTGATCTCAAAAAAAATAAGACCACTCCATTCCGTTCTGAAGAGTAAAGAGTTAAAACATAGCCTGAGTTGCTCCAGCTACTTTACAAGTTTACATATATACGGTCCGGGAGAATTTCTCAAGGTATGGCCCACAGACGCTAAATTTTTTAATTTCCTCTGCCTCTAAAGATCTTTAATTTATGAAACAAATATATCGTTATACAACAATTACAATCTACAGAGATTTAATTGATACAAATCGAAGAGGGCATTATCAAACTAAGGGTGCAAATACTTACAGGATGCACCCTTCTTGCAATACCCACTCTCATAAAATTTACATACACGCTGCCCTCTAGGAGGAGGTGGCCTTGAAGAGCCTCCTCCACCAAAAGAAGACTGTCTGCTCCATGAAGTTTGCCTATTCTTACTAAAACCTGAATCTACGCCGTGGTGATGATGGCTCCTGTCCTTCGTACCAGAATGTCTCCCCATGCTATGATTATATCTTGGCGATGTCTGAAGACTAGAACCTCTGGCTCCCTGGCTTACCACTGAAGTACTCCAATGACTGTTCACACTTACAGCAGCCAAGCCAGGACCAGAAGCATTCCAATGCATGTTAGGATTTCCTAAAATGGAACCTGTACCAGAAAGCTTACCACTTGGATGCCCAGGTGGTTCCCGACCAGTACTACTATGTTCAGATCCCTGTTTCCAAGTGTCTACCGCTGCTACTTTTATGCTCGGGGTCTGTGGAGAAGGTTGACGTTGAAGACGCACTTCTGGATGGTTTAGTGAAAGAGAAGCAGGGTCTACCTCTCCCTCCTCACGAGGGCTTGATGGGCGATTGAGGCTCAAGTTAGAAGGTGGTGAAGGTGGTTTTTCTTCAGGTGGTGGTGGTGGTGGTGGTGAAAGAGGAGGAGGAGGTGGTGGTGATGGTAAGGATGCTGGTGGCAAGGTCGGTGGTGATGGTAAGGATGCTGGTGGCAAGGTCGGTGGTGATGGTAAGGATGCTGGTGGCAAGGTTGGCGATGATGGTACGGATGCTGGCAGTGATGGTAAGGATGCTGGTGGCGATGGTGAGGATGCTGGTGGCGTTGATAAGGATGCTGGTGGCAATGGTAAGGATGATGGTGGTGTTGGTAGGGATTCTGCTGGTGACGGTAGGGATGCTGGTGGCGATGGTAAGGATACTGGTAGCGATGGTATGGATGCTGGTGGCAAGGATGGTAGCGGCGGCGGTGGCAGTGACAAGGATACTGATGGTGGAGGCGGTAGTGGAAGTAGTGGTGGTAAGGATGCTGCTGGTGGTGGTGGCAGCACTGCAGACACTAAAGTTTTAGAAACAAAATCCCGGTGAGGGATCAAAGCGGTAGCTGGCTTGATGTCTTCTACTTGAAGGCTTCCGGTAGAGAGAATACAAGAGGTTCTCGGAAGATTACGTATAACAGAAAAGGGCCCATGTGGATGATCAGTGATATTAGGCTGGAGATGGAATTGCATATCAGCCGTGGAACTCAAAGCATCATTTTTTCCAGGATCAAGATTTGGGCTCAGCCCTCCAAGAGGACTAAAACAATCATCTCCCGGAGAGTCAATTGAGTCATCTCCACAGTTCATCCTAGAAGTTGGGGATGACATGCCTCTTAGAGACTCCATTGCCTCAACTTCTGACAACAAATCAGAAACAGATTCATCACCTAAAGTGCTAAGCTCAATGGGCTGCCAGCTTGATGTATCACAATGTGGATTAGTCAGCTGGCAACTATGAGAAGTTGGGGTGCCATGGTCATCACCAACTTCAACCAGCTTGGCTGACGAGCCAGAAACTAGGCTACAGTTGAATTCTTCAACAGGTTTGGCATGTACTGTGGAATACGCACCCCATTCACTAGCAACATCAGGGAGATGTACTTCCTCACCTACTAGGCTAGAAGTGCTCCAACTAATACATGAATCTTGTCCAGGGACATTCGAAATTTCTGAATCTTTATTTCCCATTGCTTGACCTCTCGAAGCCTCGTCCAGCTGTGAGGTAGTAGGAAGATCAGGAAATCTAATTCCTACAGACATCGAAGTCCAGCTAGTCCCAGAATCTTGTGCAGGAACCTTTGGACCAACGCAAACGTTATTTTCTACAGCAGGAGTCTCCAAGCTGTTGTTCTCAAGCTTTGGGGCAGCACTAGGTAGATCAGAAAATATAATTCCGTCAGAAATTGTATTCCAACTGGTCCTCGAATCTAGATTGGGAACATTAGAAGAACCATCATGTTTATTTTCAAGAACATGTGTATTTGTGCCCTCCGTGTTTAAATTATTGCTTGACCGAATAGAGATGCCAGTTTCACCAGAAATGTTACTCCAATCTCGTCCAGAGACATTTGAAGAAATGGATTGTCCAACTTCTACAGTATGAAGCTTTAGTCCCTCATTCTCCACTTTTGGAGCAGCACCTGGCAGCATAGAGATATCAATTCCACCAGAAACTGTACTGCCTACACCCGAGTCTTTCTCAAAGCCAGCAGAAGCAGCCAACTTTTTATTTTCTGTATCACGATCATTGACATCCTTATTTTCTGTCTTTGGCAAAAGATTTGGCAGATGAGAAAATTTACTTGCACTAGATCCTGTTTTACAAACATCAAAGTCTTTAGACACATTTGATGTGACTTGATTCTCCAAATCAAGGCCTTTCAAGTCCTCAGGATTGGGTTTTGGTGTTGAATTTGGAAATTTTGAAGTCTCAGCTCCATTAGAAGTCAAGCCCCAGCCAACTTCAGAATCTAATTGGCCAGCATTTGGGCTGGAAGGTTGGCTTTTCATTGCCTGATTTTCCAAGTCTGCATTAACAGACTTTGATGTAGAAGTGGATGGATGAGAGGATTCAACAGTAAGGGTAACTTGCATTGTTTCAGAAGACCCGGTGGGCGTAGCAATTGAACTGGGTTCTTCAGTGTCAAATAAACTCTCAATTAGTCGTGCTTTCATATCAAGCCCAGAAGATTGATCTATGCCAACTTGATTTTCAGACACTAATAAACTACAGGAACCACTCATTGGGAGATCATAAGCCTCTGAAGTAGCATTTATGTCAGTTGAGTTCTTATTGCTGACTTCTTCATTTGGATTGTGGCCCACAAAAGGGATATCAGAATTACTGCTAAACTCCTCAGCAGGATTAACTTTTCTGTCAACAGATTCAACTCCACAATATGACTGTGAGCATGAAAGCTGCTCGATATGAGGCTCAGACTCATTAGATTGCTGCTTTCTTAACGCATCAGTCAAAAGTATGGACTGATCTAGAGTTTCATTAATCTTCCAAACTCTTAGATCAGTAGGGAAAAAACCATTTGAATCCCACTTTCGCAGCTGCAACATGCAGAATGGTCCTTGAACTTTGCCTGAAGGGTCTCGATAATGCCAAATCTTCTCTAGTTCAGTCATATCTGCTACAAGGAGCATCCGAGAGGAAAGAGCGGTTATTGCTGAATCAGAAGCCGCTTGAGAAATAGATACTCCACGATCATCAGAAACAACACCCAAATCTGCTCGATGGTTGAATTCTTCCAGGACCCTTGATGCAGCGTCAATTCTGTCAGAACTGTGGGAGGGCTCATGGGGTTTTGTGGCACTTTCAGCTTTCCCAACATGAAATTTAGCAGGATTCTTCCTCTTCCGTTCTCCATTAGCAACAGAGATTTTTATTGCCTTAGTCCTGTCATCTTTCAACATATCCCCTGCTCTTACAGGAGAAATCAACTTCACACCTATTGCATTGGAATTGGAGTACTTTGGTGTCACTGACCCATCTATTCACATTTAACATCATCAAAAATGAACTGTCAGACAAAACCATACTACCAAAGATTTGATTTAACATACATCAGCACAAATATGAAGCATACCTTGCTTCTTAACGTCTGACTCGCCAGAGTCATCATCGGAACCATAACTAGGATCCATTTTAGGATCAGCATGCACATCTGGAATTTCATGAATCCTACGTAGACGTTCTTCAGGTGCCTTCAGCAACTCTATTTTCTCCACGCATTCCCTAAGCGTTCACATGGTCAAGAAAAATACAAATTCAAGAAAGTTCTGCCTAGAATCATCATGCATTATTCAGATAACTCAGTAATACACTGATGATATTTTAAGCATAATGGTACCCTGAAAATAATCATTGACCAGCTCAATGTATTTATAAAAAGAAATTATTATTAAAAAAATAATAATTATAATAATAATAATAATAAAATAAAATAAGAAGCAAAAATCAAAACAACTAAATATAAATTCTTGCAAGAAATAATGGAGGCAATTAATGAAGTGTCACTGCATAGCAACCTACTAGTAAAGCCTGACAACAAAATCAACCAAAGAAATCAGAGATGAGTGATAGGTAGTACAAGCACACAATATCTGCACCAAAAAAATCCTTTTCTCCAAATGCAAATCATGGCCACAGAAACAACAACACCCCATGCACCGAATCGCACAGAAAAGTAGAAAAATGTCAACATAAAATCACAAAAAAAAGAAAGGATATTCCTTGCGATGCCCCATCTCACTAGCTCGATCCCTAAGATGATTCAGCTTCTTTATCTCTGTTTCAAGCCACTACAACAAACAAGTAACACCATGTTTAGCAGCATATAAAATTAATGTCCATATATAGAACATGAATACTAATCTTTGGCCTATTGCAAAGGCAACCTAAACAAAGTGAATTAAAACAATTACTGAAACTACGGGTAAAGATTAAGATTTTGGTCTAGAATTGACTCAAATCTGATCCAATCCGAAGTAATTTAGTTTTTGTAATTCATGTCCAATCTAATTGCATTCCAGCCAAGACTGATCCGAACCAATCCGATTAAGACTACTAACTTAGGATCCAATCCAGTAATCCTAATTAGTAAAATCACTAAATTTGTTCTAATTGTCAATGGACCTTATTCTGAATTTCTGATAATACAGTAGTATTTAAGATATGTTTTAACCCATATAGGCTATATGCATTAATAAGTCTGAAAAATCCACATAATTTACTTAGGAGTCTATATAAACAAACCTCTTAATGAGGAAAAACATCCTTATAATTTTGGTATGTTCATTTTATTGGATCCAAATACCCTTGATCTGATCCAGTCTAAAAATCTGCCTTTTCAAATAAGTAAAAATGACTCCAATCCAATCTGTATAAGTAATTTGGTTTGGATAGGATTACACTTTGGGTTCAATCCAAATAACATTCACCCATAACTAAAACATTTAAAGCCTTAACATTATTTCACAGCCTTGCAAATAACAGTACACAATTTATAAATAAGTAGAATCTCATCAATCATCCTTCTTGATTGGGAAACGTAAAGTACTTACATCATTAACCCTCATTGGTTGTAATGAAACCGCTTTTTCCTGGATTTCCCCCTGGAAACAGAAAATTCATCTCAAAAATTCTACAACACCAAAATCAGACAAGAAGATTCATCGTTTTAACACTTACCACTGTCATCCTCTCAACGAGTCCCAACTTTATACTTTGACGTAAACGCCTGCACTCATCCTAGGATTTCAATTGAACACCAAGTCAGTAAATAAACAATCAAATTTCCAACAGTAATTACCATTTAGTTTAAGATTTCAGAATTGTAACTTGTAAGTTCCTAAACCAACACAAGTGAACAAAAGCACCATGGTAGAGTTTCAGAACATCCTGTTAGACTAAAATCAGGAATAATGTTCAGACAAATACAACTACATTTACGTTCACTACGGATAAAGTATTAGTATGATGCATATTAAATGCGACTAAGGAATGGCTATCGATTTTTAAACAGTGAAAACATAAGAGCTTTTGGCGTAACATACAAACACAGAAGATAAATATGAAGAAAAAACAAAACTCAAAAGCTGAATCCAAGAAACGTAACAAGATACTAAGGTAAAAAGACCAGTTTAAATACCTCAGAGAACTCTTGGTCTGAAATTGCACTAATTGCTACATCTTCTATCTTGTTTAGATTTAATATCTTAAGCATGAAACACTCTGTCTTATCACCAGTTTTATAGGGCTCAGTTGCTTTGTCTGTACCTGTCCAAATATACTATGTTTTAACATGTTGAATTTGCAAAATACTAACAGTGGATATTGCAAACTGAGAAAAGTGTATCAACAACTGCATACCTATGATTCTGACCAACCGATGCATATCTTGCTTTTGATCATTGCTGGATATTTTAATTCTAACAACTGAACCAACAACCTTGTCATGAAAATTTTCAGCATCTACCATTAGGTTTTCCAACAAACTCCGCTTCAGGTAAATTAAATTGATGTTGTGAACATCAATTGCTGCATAACTATCAAGTTTGATTTGTCGGCCTTTTTCTTCAGCCTTTTTACGGCTTTGCCGCCTAGTTTCTCTACTTGGAGTCTGGATGTCTCCACTAATACCCTCATTCTCCAGCTGCGAAGCAAGAGGGTCAATAGCTGCACCCCTAATCACACCATTGGTACGAGATTCTTCTTTGAAATGATATTCAAGTAACTTGAGCATTTCAAAGTGACCAACTCGCTCCTTACCGAACAAATTCTCTAACCTTCTATCACAAATAATTTGACATTTTCGACGAGGATCACGGAGATTATTTTTTCTTATATAATCTAGTAGAAGAGCCTGAACATCAAACTGAGACAGAACTGATGTTTCACCATTTTTCATATGCGCAACAAATTCCAAAAGTTCTTTAGATGCCCAATCAGCTACTGCATGCAAACCTGATACCTTGTTTCCATCTGGTTTGTCAATACTCTGTGAATTCAGATTCAACAACTGCGGTTGTTTTCTTGTCTTTCTTCTTTTTAAAGCATTTGTTTCCTGTTGTACATTGCTGCTGCTTAGCTCAGAAACATTATTGAGACATGCCTCAACTCTTTTCTGCTGAAAGTTATTGTTTTCAAGTCCAGATACTTTCCAGGGATTAATAGCCCAAGTCAGCTCATCTAAGGTAAGAGCTTCCTTTTCTTTCAAATATATCCAGTACACCTTAAAAAGGTATTCCCAACTAGTAGTGTCATCAAAATCTACTTGAACCTGAACCTGCAAGGCAACCACACATATGACTACAAGGTTGCAAAGAACAAGGAAACTAATATATAGAGCAATCTCCTATATAAGACATAACAGAGTGGAGAAGAAAAATAGCTCATCCCAAAATATATTCATCAAAAAAATCTCTAAATTTTCTGCAGAGACCTTCTAAGTTACACAAGGCTCAGAGTAGTCCCTTTCCATCTTTCAGTACAAGGTCTTAAAGCCAGGCATAAGCCCAGCCTGTTTGCTGTACACCACTGTGCAGTTCAATTAATAATTTCAAGTGCCATACTGTTGTGCAATGTAGGCATATCAACTTGAATATATCCAGCCCTTTGAAAAAATAATAATAAAGAAAAACTTCTTTTTTTTTAATGGCTTCCTTCAAATTCATCAACATCAAATACTTCCCATCTTTAAGTTCAAAATTAGCACTAATGACCTCTACTGACTATAATAAGACCTATTGAACATATTAGAGTGCCAAACAGACAGAAAATGGATAAAAAGAGCTTCTCATTGAACTGAATTGTTTAACAAAAACGATCACAGATGCTTAAACAGCTTGAATTTGAGAAAGCAGTGAAACTAAACATAATACCAGAGATATATCAGCCATACCTGCTCCTTGGATTCTTGGGGAATCTTTTCAATTAACATAATAGTTGTCATGCATGTTCTACAGAACCCTTTGTTCCTTCTGACACACAAAATATCTGCCTGCTTGACGCATCCCTTGCATAAGGAATAAGGGCACGTGTAGCACATAAAGAGAGCATTTCTTTGACAGAAGTTACATAAATGCCAACCTGAAATGCATGGAGAACAGAATAGCCAGACATTAGCATGTGGAAACTGATCAGCTCCCAATAACAAAACAAGTAAATGCAATCATAAACCAGCATAAGGAAGCGTTGATGAGGCTTCTATGACACAATTGGGGGGGCAACTACTGTCCACACGTCAAGGACAGGAATTTATTTGGGAAAATGATAACCTTATCATTGTTAACTATAATGCACCAGATTCACATAATATCAATATCGGTTTACAGTTGTACCACATTAATAATGCAATGCAATTTGCAATTTTTGAGTGGCATGCTTTTCCCCCAGGCAACACAAGTTCTAGAGTCCGAAAGGATTTTGCATGGGGGAAGCACGTCGCACATGCCTCTTATAACACGCATAGCCAACATATGTAACACTATTTAACGGAAACACACATATAAACAAAGGCACAAAAGAAAATATTAACACCTCCCCCTTTTTTCTTTTTTGAATTTTTTCAACACCTCCCACTCTCTTAGTGTTAAATACTTAAATAGAACAAGGTCTATTCCTCCAAAAAAAAAAAAAAATCTGGACTCTGAAGAAGTACGCAACCTTATTCCCCTACGGTTAAGAGCCTATTAGAGACACCAAATTCGAAAGAGAATCACATATAGTAATTTGATAAAAATAAATAAATAAATAAATAAATAAATAAATAAAAAATTAATAACTTATGCATATAAAAGTTATAACAAAGCATCAGGAATAATGACTACTTCATACTCAAGAAAAAAACACTCAAAAGCATGACTTAAAAACACTTGGTCCAGTAATGTCAGTTATATGTCAAGAAAGGAATAAATACTAACATCAATTAGGATGATATATTCTCAAAAAAAGAAAAATTAGTTCTACCCAATCAGTACTGATTTATTTCTCTTTTTCTACTTTATTACGAGTATATTTTTCTCTTTTTCTACTGATGTTTTTCCTCTTTTTCTACTATATTAATTGATACGATTCCAACGAGGGTGAGAATCCAATTGTTTGATCATAAATAAGATGATATTTTAAGCATACAGGAGCACAGAGATCAACCAATAAGGGGGCTTGGTGATACAGAACCTAGTAAAAAATTACATGACTAAAATTGACATTAAGAAGAGAAAAATATATGTTTTCCACCTTTAAATTTTTTTATACATAAACGAAATTCAAAATAGTAAATTTGACAAATAGTGTGATTGAGAATAGGTGTAAAATCCCCCATAAGGTCATTTTCTTCTTATTTGTAGTTTGTAAAACTCGAATTATTTTCACTGATTACAAAAATTAACTGGTTATAGCTTGTTTTAATGACCAAAATTACCAACTAATTGTTGTACTTATTAAATAGAGAAATTAAACTTACTTCTTTCTTCAAATATTGCACTATTGCAGCAATTACCTTTATAAGAAGATTCGCAAATATTGCATCATTCACTCTAAGAAAACTCAATCATTGGCATTTTCTAAGTTTCTAAGGTAATTCACTTGATTTTTTAATTTACCCACCTAATTTTCTCCACCCCCGGTTGCAACATATCTAGAACGGAGGAAGTACAATAAAAGAAACTAAGTCCTAATGCACTAAAAGTGATCAATATAGAGATTACAAATTTACAATATGGATAAAGGAATCTTTGGATTATATAGGGTAATATTGAGGAGCTAAAGAAAAATTCTTTTAACTTCGAACCTGATTTCCAGGAATTCGAAAACATATTCTAAATAATGTTTCATAGATTATGATATAAAGTATAGTCATGTTCTTAATTTAGTACCCCAAGTCATCCTATTTGAGACCATGGTTCGAAAATGCGGTTTCGGTTACGATCACGGGAACAGTTGCGGTGTCGCGGGAACGCTTATGATGCGTTGACCGCGGACCATGTCACGTTTGTCTCGATGCAAATTTGATTTCAAGATAGTAGAGGATTAGAGCCATTAGTGAGGTGATATGGGGGCATAATAAAAGATTTGAGCCATTAGTGGGGAGATATGGGGGAATCTTTCACTATATCTTTGAATAGAAAGTAACTTTTGTGTGAAATAATAGATGTAACTTTCAATGCGGGGTGATTTAGGGTTAAAATGTTTGATTCGGACAAAATCGCAAGGATTTTTAATACCCCTTGTTGATGCGGACAATCTCGATTCGGTCAATTGAATTTCCTTTACAAAACGGCCTAACCAAGACGTCGCGGCCTTGTTTTTATACCATGTTTGAGACCATAAGTCGTCCATGGTTTTTTGCTTCAAAATGAATGTAGTCTTCAACTATTCATTAACCAATTTCTATATACCTTTGTAAACACAATATCATAGCCTTTGTCCCTCTCTCTCTCTCTCACTCTCTCTCTCTCTCTCTCACCCAGCTCAAGTGCTCAACCTTCGAATTTTACCGCTATCATCTCCCCTGTGGGCTACTCAACAACCAACTTCCCCCCCCCCCACACACACACCCCCCGAAAAAATAAATAATAAAATTGCCACAGACATTTACAACTCTAGTATTAGGCAATTCTAAAGATCACCATGTGTCAATTTCCAGCAGAGTGTAAGTCAGATTAGTTTCTATGTTGCACCAAAACCAATACGGGTACGGGGACAGAAAACGGCAAATCTAAACATTCCGGGGTACGGGGACGGTGATATTTTAAAATATACGGAGTAAATTTTAAATATAAAAAAATGGAGCATTGTAAAATTTTTAACGCAACCAAATAAATTGATAATAAAAACAATTTAGTTTAATATTTAACACAACATTTAAAATAAGAACAAATCATGAAATCAGAAACATAAAAAGTTAAAATAAAAAAATCACGAAATCAAAAGCATTAAAACAAAATAAAAGTGTCCACCAATACTTCTTCCACTTCATAGTCCACCAGTGTCGAAAGCTCCACCATTGTTTCCCTTATTCGGCCATTATTACTCTCAAGTTTTACAATTTATATCCCACGATTTAAATAACAGAATCTAATTATGCATTATGAAGAGTGTAGCATGGGTAGTGATTGAATTGGGAAATTAGGGTTTCAAAATTGGGGAAAAAGTGGGGAATTTTCGAAGGCCGCCACTGCCAAACTCCACCGCCGAGAGTTTTGAAGTGTGAAAGTCTGAATTGATGGGTTGACAAACTCAAAACAAGTATTTAAAATGCCCAAAATTACACTTGGCGTTCAGCCTCACTCACGTCCCCAAAAACACCGCCGAGAGTTTTGAAGTGTGAAACTGAATTGATGGGTCAACAAACTCAAAACAAGTATTTAAAATGCCCAAAATTACACTTGGGGTCGGCGTTCAGCCTCACTCGCCCCAAAAACATCCCCAAAAAGTCAACGCGTCCTGAGGACGTCCCCAAGCCGTTTCCGAGGCGTATTCGTACCCGTGACGTCACGAGGACGGGGGACACTAGCCATAAGGCGTCCCCGTGCAACATAGATTAGTGTAATATGAATGTTTAGCAAATACTAGAGCAATTGCTAAGTTTAAGTAGAATTAAAAGGCTTAGGTGGCAACTAAAGTTTATATTATTTTAAAAGGTTTCAATTAGCAGCATTATTTTCTTGTACGTAGCATGTCGGTAATGCTTTACGCATTGAGGTCCCACTTGCTGATTATAGAATTGATTATGTTAACTGATGTTTTAAAGAATTAGAGATCAGGGCATTTCAAATGAAGTAACAAAAGGTATAGCCAGTGATGCAGACACCAAAGAGCACACCCCTTGCACCTCAAACTGTCAAGCAATCATCCTCCACCCTTTACGGCTCAAGCAGGCTACAAACAATAAGGAGAAGAAAATTTTTGTAGCAATACACTAAAAACTAAAAAGATCGCTTTTTTAATGCATGTAATTATTTAATAGCACACAACAAAGTATTTCAAAAAAATAGGCCCAGTGTAAATTTTGAATTGCCTAAATTTTGATACGTGATCTATGCTTGTATCCAACCCTAAACCCCTACAAAGCCACACATCCAAAGTCTAAACAATGAGAAACTCAGTTATGAATCAATCAAAACCTTAATCCCATAAGTGCGGTCGGCTACATGACAACTTAATGCATCAAATCCATTAAGTATCCACATAGATAATGTTATATACTACAATGTTTCATCCACTCTAATAGGGCCGGTGAATATTCATTCTTTGGCAAAAGAGTGACACTTAACCTACATATATTGATTGATTTGATTTGAATCACAAATCTGCTATGTGCTAAAAACACATTACGCCAATATTATGACACTTTTACAACTCTTAATTATCCTCCTATAATTGCATGCTCGCTATATATCTTTGCTCGGTCTTGTGTTGTATCCATATACAGACACACCGGAGGTGTCATACATATGGTAATTGGCCACTGGCCAGCACTTCCACTGATGACACATCGAGCTTTTACGGAAAAATATGGGTGCTTTAAATTATAATTTGCAGTTAATACAAGTATTGACAACTAACTTAAGCCACAAGATTTAATTAAAGTTTTACACAAGTCAATTTGAGCAAGCCAAATGGGAAGCATATTCACTTGGCAAGATATGATGTACAGTTGCAGTATCTCCATGATTATGGTATTAATTCACGCAAAAAGCTAAGTTAGTCTCAAAAAGCATTGCAAGGATCAATAGTTATGTTCATAGTATGGAAATGTCAGGAGGATATCAACATCCACCACCTTTCCAAACCTAATAATGTTGGAAAACATACATTATAAAATAAACATTAAAAATAAAAAAACTCAATAAAAAATAAAAAACTAATGTAAAATTAATGCTATTGTTACCCCTCACTGACTGCTTCCTGGACATTCACTTACAATTAGTGGCCCATTTATTGCTTACGAAGTACCAATTAAAATTACTGAGTGCAGAAGTGGTTTGCTCTATTGCCTAGACTTTCCTCAACCAACACAGATTGAACATGATATCTCGCTATTCTGTGAATAGTGTTATATTGCTCTTGCTGCTCACTAAGAAGTAAAACAATATGAAGGGTTAAAGAAAGCCAGTCCTTGAGAATTGTACTTATAATTCCAGATTTAGGATTCTAGAGGTTTTATCAACTGTAAATTGCAAAAATTAACAAGTTTGAGGTTATATGATCCTTGCTTACTAGGTTTTTATAAAAAAAAAAAAAATAAATAAATAAAATTTTACATTATCACAGTTTATAAAGTGTCAGAACATATGCCTAAAAATTTAATGAAGCCAACTCAGCCAAGAAAGAATTCAAAGATGCAGAAATGTTCAGGATTATCTTAAAATACAAACAGAGTTTCATTAAAGGGGCCAAGAAAGTAGTTGCAGTAAACAGAGCAAAAACAGAACAAGAAAAAATCATCAAGGAGGCATCTTTTTAATCCCTACCTTTAAAGCAATATAAAGAACCTGGATTGATTGATCACTTACATCGTATTAGTAACTATCTCTCATGTGCTTTTAAACAATGACAGACAAATTTTAGCACCTAAATTGATGGAGAATTGAAGAGTAAATTATGAAACTAGCCAATCATACTCCAAACCTGTAAAATATATCCCCTTATACAATAAGATTCTCTAATTATCTAGATATAATGCTTCTTCCACTTCTTAAATTTTCTTTCAGAGACAAAATATTAGGTTATTTTGGACCGAACGCTAATGAGGACATCAACAACCCAATACAAGTCCCATTCAAATTGGGTCTAAGAAGGATCAGAAGTAATAGAACTTACCCTACTAAATAGCCAAAAAAAAAAAATTAGAGAGATTTCTGTATAAAAAGCCCTGGATGTGCTAATTAAAGTAAAGGGCTCATAACCAGAACATTGTGAGTAATGACGCTCTAAGGAGACTTGTGATGAGGAAAATGTAAGTACTAGGACCTTAGATTCTCTAGGTCTAGAGAGGATAAACCTTTTGTAGACTGACAGGCCTGCTACACATCATTGACTAAATTTGAAGGTGATGAAGAGGAGATGAATACATGGCCCATAAGACTGGTGCAGATTACAAATTACTCTTCTGCATCCCAAGGGCCAAATCTCTAATTTGGCAGAAGTGAATGATAAGCCATCTTTCCTTTATGAGACTACTTGAAGAATTAAAGCTCCTTCCAAGCACATCTTAACTTTGGGGAAGATCCCAAAAAGTCTTTTTTACGAAATGAGGCAATGTTCAGTTTTGGTCAAGATCATAAAAAATCAATTGATCAACTCTTTGTTCCTAGTACTCGAGTATTCTCTCTCTCAAATCTCAATCATAATGTGTTTACATCTTTTGGTATCAAGTTTACAAATTTTGGGTTATCCTTGTTCACACAGCATGTTTTGATGTTTAAAGAGTACTTCCCAGAAGATTAAAAAATAATAATAACTGAGATTCTGGTCTGGAGGAATGGGATGGATAAAAGACAGATTCAACAAATGTGGAAGTCAATTTTTTTGCAATCTGGTGGTGCCCATGCCTTGTGGAAACAGACTAACAGTTTTCCTGAAGGCAGAGCTTCACCAGTCAGGTGAAATGAGACAAGGCTCTAGTGCATTCAGAGATAAGTCCTCCATTCTTAACGACATCTATACTTTTCTAATGTTACAATGAAGATACATAAACATGCATTAGTTCAAGGGAATGATGTCATTGGTTATTCCACTGATTCTCTACATGGAAGCATTGTTTGGTATCCTTCCAACGGCAAGATGTATGCTTTCTTTTGTCAGCCAAAAAAGAGAAGGGAGGTTTGTGTGTGGGGGGGTTTGGGGTGGGGGGGGTGGGGGGTACTCTGGATTGCGATCATAATCTTTAGGCTTTTGATAATACTTGTATTAGAAGAGAAAGGATTTTTGAAAAGTGAAACTAAAATCTAAATAAATAATCTTCCTTGGTACTTCAAACTCTATGCATCTAACCAGCAATTCTACTTCTGCATGCCAAACTCTTCCAGCAAAATTTTTGCAGGCATTTTTCCATCCATCATCTTCCCAGCAGTAGCTGATAGTTTAATTATCTACGAAATGTACAAGCTTTTACAGAAATCATGCTGTAAAATAAACTACAGATAGTAAATAAGCCTATGACTAGGTATTAAATCAGTTTCCCAAAAGATATTGAAAAGGATTAGCTTGAGGGATGAGCATAGAAGACACTCCAAATTACAAGGGAGACGGTCTTCTTGAGTTATATCCAAGCTAGTAAAAACTTGGTTGAATATGTAAAAACTTGGTTGAATAGGATAGAGCAAATTGAATATGTAATCAGGGTATTTAAGGGGTAGGGAATTATATCCATAGCCCATAGGTACACATTTAATGAAAGCTCAAATCTTAACCAATCTAGTGAGGCTAGTACAAAGAAATCCAGAAATAATAAGTCAGATTTACATATTATTTTAATTTAAGATGGCTAGAAACTTCCTAGTAACAGCCAGTAAAAGATGAATACATTTTACAAATTCCCCAATTGTCCGTGGTCAAGATTGAGAGGTAGAAAAACTAGTGGAGTTGCCTGACAGTTGCAAGACCTTTTAGGGAAGACAAGTAAATGTTGAAGTACCGGAACAGCATATAATTGGATGAACATAAGACAAGTAAATGTTGAAGTACAAATTTAGAAACATTAAATAGTACTCCGTAATTGTGGTAAGTGATGAATATAACAAGTTTGTTAAATGATCGAAAAGCAAATACATACCACAGTTCCATCGGATGCTCCGGCGAAAGAAGGACTCGTCTCGTTTAACACAAGCAGGATGGTACGCCTTGGGGCAGTCCCTGGCAAAGAATAAGGTTTTTTTTTTAAATAAAAAAAAAAAAAAAAAAAAAAAAAAAAAAAAAAAAAAAACCCTAAAACAGTGAGAAAGCAAGTTAAAAAGAGGGAAGCTGACCGGTGGTCACAGAGCACGAGGTTGCCGCCATCAAAACAGATGAAGCAAACATCTTCATCCTCCTTCTTAGTCTTTTTGGCAATCGGCATCGGCGGTGGAGAAGCAACTCCGATGTTCTTGGGAGGTCGTCCGCGCTTCTTTCGAGCAGAGACATCCGCCATTGGAGGAGGATGAGGAGGAGGATGATGAGGATGAGCTTGAGGATGAGCTTGGGCGAGCTGAGAATCGGCAAGTGGGATGATATCTGGGTTGTTCCGATCAACAACTTTGTCAACGCTGGGTAAAGCTTGGACTGTAATCCTAGTCTCCGCCATAGAAATGAACAGAAAGGAAGTGAGATCGAACTCAGACGAAAAACCCTAGATTAGGCGCCATGGGAAGGAAGAAGAGGTGGTCGGCACATGGGACGGCTCAGTAGGAGAGAGAAACACACAAACACAAACACAATTACACAATCACAATGGTGCGCGTTGTTTTGGGTCGTTTTCAAGGTAGGAACTTCAGACCAAAGGATGCATCACTCAACTTTAATTACTTTTTTTTATTTAATCTTCAATTTTTTAACTAAAATAATTCAAACTCTGCAGGCATGGACCATGGTTTGGGGCTTTGCCTTGGGGTTCTCCTTCAGGCTTCAGCGATATTTAAAAGCCACGTCATCACTGTTTCATTTTTACAAATTGCCGTACGTGGACTTTTTTTACTGGAATTACTCCTTCAGACTTCAGACTACTGTAATATACTAATATTCCGTATTATGCTTAATTGCTTATGCACCTCCCTTTCCTTTCCTTTTTCTTTCCGTCTTCCAACTCATGTCCTTTTTCATCCTCTTTTCTCACCTTGCCTTTTTTTTTCTCTTTTTTTAACAAATAAATATTTCTTTTTCCAACCTTTCATCTCAAACAATGGTGTCTCATCTGCTCACCATCAGATAAAGTATTTATTGAATGATAAATTTATAGTTTTCATATACTTTTTCCCTTTTTATTTAGTTGACGTATTTGATTTAGGCTCATATATTAAGGAGAGGAGAGCAAGAGAGAAGGAGAGAATGAAAAAGCAAGTGGGGTAGCTTGTAAGTGCAAGGTAAATTAACCCCAAAAGAAAACGTGTCAACTAAAAAAAAACTTCCTAAAAATGAATAAGTGTCAACTAAAAAAAACGAAGGTAGTATAGTGGAGGTTAATTTTATTATTCGTAATGTATCTCATTAGATGATTGTGAACTTGTTCGTCCATCGTCATCTTCTCCTCCTACTTCCTTTTATTCTCACAGACCTCCATCTCCTTCTTCGAGTTACTTCAATAGAGACTTCACCGGTCACCATTTTCGACGATAAATTGATAAACCCAACAAAAAAATTTAAGAGCATGGTTAATCCTAAAAGGTAGACGAGCTTTCCCTCCTCCATTACTTTCTCCATAAAAAATCTGCTCGTGAATTTCTAATTATGACACTCCACATATTGAAGCTTCTTCTAAGCTTTCTCTCTTTTTAGTGGCTCCACCGCTCCATTGAAACTACTTCTCTTCTTGAACTCACGATGCCAAACTAGGTTAACTAATGGTTAGCTATTGAAAAAGTACAAAAACATATCATCAAAGCGCAAACAATTAAGCAATTTATTTACATATATATCATTAGATGTACAATACAATTCAAGTTCTCACTATATTTTCTCAATAACTTATCCAGAAATAAATAAAAATAATATTTTTAATACTTATATATTTTTTTAATTCCAAGATATTTCTACTTTTCAAATTATAATATGTTATTATACATATATAGTAATTATTACCCTTTATTTATTATACGATATGAGTTAATTTTTCCAAATATATAAAAAGTAATTATAAAGAAACGTTCACATCATGAGGGGGAAAATTAATGAATTAGTATTATACATGTTAATTAGTGTGACATATAACGTACAATATATGATGAAAGTATCATTGAATTGTCATAAAGTGATAAGATGACAGCAACAATTGATGATAAGGAAAAATAATGGAAGAGATAAATTACCTATCTACGTAATTATTGAGCCATTGACCTAATAGTTGGAACTGGTAGGTTGTGTTTGTGTATGATATGTCACATTTTCAAATAATCTTAAAGTCTTACTAATGAGCAACAAAGTTATGTCTATCATATCGATGACTGAAATAACCCTTATTGAAGCAAAAATATTAACAAATGGTAGAAGAGAAGTCGCATAGAGAATTTAAAGTGCAAAATCTAGGAGATGAAAATCTAATTCTAAGCTAAGTGCAAATGATAATTTGCCCCATAAATTCTAAGTCGTAATTGTAGATGTAGCCTCTTGTCTAGTTGGAGGCCAACTATGATCATGATTAGCTCGTGGATGTAAATATCTTGATTTAAATTAATATAATATTTTGATGCTTCTATTTTTTAAAAAAAAAAAAAAAATCAAAAACAAACAAACAAATTTAAAGCTTGTTATGTATTTTTGCACACTGGAACACCAAAATCCATATTAAGTGGGCAAAGTGGAACATCGAAATCAATATTAAGGGCCTATTCACATTTACTGAATTGAACTGATTGAAGCTTAACTGAACTGAACTGATTGGAGCTGAACTGAATTGAGCAGAAATGAATATTTTATGAGAGAGGGAAATTATGAGCTAAACTGAACTGAACCGATTGGAGCTTAAATGAACTGAAATTAAGTAAATGTGAACATGCCCTAAGTGAGAAATAATGTATATGTTGTGACTTTGGTGGATTCTAGATTTCTAGCATAGTTAATAACATGAGTAATTATTTTCAATACATTGTAATATAATATCATTTTATTATTTGTATTAGTAATTCAAATACTTGATATGTAGAGCTTTTGGCGTGAACGTGAATAATATATTATTTTAAAAAGCAAGTAATTATGACAAATTAAATGACAAGTCATGTATTGTCTCTCAAATTTTTTAAATTATGTATCCGTTTTTCGGCATGTCAATCAACATATAAAAAGGGAAATCAATTGTAATAAATATAATCTCATAAAAATTACAAGCGTAAGTTATATCTTGTACAGTAAGGTATCTCTTATACGTATTGTGGGAATATGTTGCATTGAGTTGACATAATGATGTAATATAGTACGAATATTATTTCAAAATGATTTTTATCTGATGCATTTGATTGAATTTGAAAAATACAATGATTTTTATGATTCACATGATTTTTAAGCAACATTAAAGGTACAAATGAAGTGCTGACACTATTAAACATGTTACAGTTGCCAATTAATTAGTAACCCCGCCCCCTTTTGTTTGTCACTTTTGTCATTTCGGGTGCTTCTAAATGCTCGTCACATTTCATATCCCTACCTTATAAAAAGTAGAAAATAACTCTTAGAAATAGTGTGCTACCAACTATATCCTCAATATGTGCAAAATTGTGTACAAAAATGTATATTTACTTTTTTACCCTCATTTATATGTTTACTCTCATTAATATATTTAATTGGGTATTTTTTTTCCCTTAAAAAAACCATCTATTAATACAAAGTTTTTTTTAACAAAAACTTGTAATGCCTTTTTTTTAAAAATTAAAAAATTAAAATGTTTTGTACTTCATATGTTATTATTGTTATATAAAAAGGGGAAAAAAATTGTATGCACGCAAACTTTGTTTATTACCACAAGATGATTTATTTTTACTTCTTCGTTGTTGCTCTTCTTATTTACAATTTTTGTCCTTTAATTATTACAAATATTGTTAAGGTTTATTAGCTTTTTAATTGTACATTATTTGATGGCACGCACATAAACAACGTGGAATTTAAATGACATTCATATTAAATAATGATATTTGAGCAGATGTTATCAAGAGGTATAACTAACTTTAAAATCCTAAAATCGAAGGAAATCGATGATAGAAAAAAAATGTATTAAATATGGAGAGAATTTAAGAGGAAAAATATAACTAAGTGGTTATTGCTTTAGTATTAGATATAGATATAGATATTAGATGGTCGTAGAACATTGAACTTACATTATTAAGTTTTTAGCTACAACGAATATTTCACATATTATTACTCCGTATGACCAAGCTCACAAAAAATACGTTTGAAGAAAAATACGTTAAGTATTATTGAATCATGCAAATCAATTAAAAAGTTCTAAACTAGCTTAAGATATGAAGGGATGCAAATCAATTAAATATTATTTAATAATAATTTTGAAATAACACTATCAAACTTTTGAGGGTTTTACAAAATAATTATCATTTAAGATTTTGGTGGCTTTTTATATTCTTACATAATCACTATATAGGCACATAAATTAAATAGTACTTATTAAAACTACCAGATCTACCACTCAAACCAAAGGTGTAACTACGCGTTAATACAACTTCTATGCAAGAAGTTTTTTATAAATATTAAGATACATAAAAAGATTTTTATACCCTCATTTTTTTGTCCTTATTAAGTCATCTTCCTATTTTACCCTAATATTTGCCATAAAAATTATGCTAACTTTTGGGATGGAGTAATTATTGTACCAAGTACTCCATAAAAGGGATGGAGTAATTACGGAATTGAGTCAATTGACATTCCGGTGGCTGGTGGGAAATGCGGTGAAACAATGTGAAACTAAGACCATTCTCAGCAGTGAGGAAAAAAAAAACTAATAGACGCAAGGAAAAAAAAAAAAAGTGTCTTAAAATAAGTCTCAATTTATGGGTTTTTTTGATAGATATCCTGCAACAATACAGTAATCAAGTTGATCACTCCCACTCACTGACATAAGTAATTCCCTATCTCACCAGTACGACTCGGAAAAGTGAGGAGAGAGAATAGAGAAATAGAAAAGGAAAGAAATTCCATTTTCCCGGAAGAAGAAATGTTGCAACAGCAACCGGCACACCCGCAGCAGAGGGAGAGAGCTCGACGGCGCTGTGAAGGCACTGCCATGGGCGCCATCGCCCTCGATCTCCGTCCCGGCCTCGGCATCGGCCCTTTTACTTTAGGTTCTATATTTCTCTCTATAATTGTCGATCAATTTAGGGATTTTCGCCTTAGGTTTTTCCATTCTGTTTATACCCAGGAATGCCTATTTGTGAAGCGTTTGCGCAAATTGAACAACAGCCTAATATTTATGATGTCGTGCACGTCAAGTATTTTGACGAGGTTTGTTTATTTTCATTCAATCGATAAACGCATCCATGTATTGACGGAACTGATCACTTAATATGTAAATCTGGAACTTAATTGAAATTGCGACATCTCTATATCATATCAATGTCATTATTCTTTTCAATAAGAGGGATTTCCTTATCTTTTTGGATTTTAGTATTAGTATCTAATTTTTAATCTCATATATTTCTTCAATTGTCTACTCTTCAACTCGGTACATTTGCCTAACTCTGACTGCAGGAACCTTTAAAGTTGGATACGGTCATTAGCTTTCCAGATCACGGCTTCCATCTCCGCTTTGACCCTTGGTCTCAGGTTTCACTTCATTTTTCGATATTCTTCAATTTTCATTGGATTTTATTTAAACTTTTGTTTCATCAATCATGCTATTTACATACTTCCTCTGTTCTTTTTTACTTGACCTGTTTCTTTTATCACGCTTGCCAATCCAAAACTTCAACGATTAATAACTTTAATTCTCCATAAGTAAAAATTATAAAAGTTATATATTATAATAGTATTTCTTAAGACGAATTCAATATATCCAACATGAACATATTTTTCCTTACAAATTATTCACAAAAGACAGTCAAAGGAGGAGTGGTGAATAGTGTAAAAGTCAAAGCGGGTCAAGTAAAAAAGAACGGAGGAAGTATGTATGTATGTATATCCGTTGCTTATGGAAGTAGAATTGTCCTTTTTTTTTCATCAATCTGATTAACAACCTATACTATACCAACTTGTATTGTGTGACTATCATCACAATAATTTATCAACCTTTTTACCTAGTACATTCCCTGGGAGACGTCATGCCACATAATCACAAAATAGAATGCATATGCTCAGCATCAGACTAGCAGGGATGCAGACAATAAGCAATAAGATTTTCACCAAGTGCATCCTTTGTTTTATATTGCATTGTGCACTACTCAGCAGTTTTAGGCCCCATGAGCTGAGTGCATGTGGTTACACTTACTTATAGAATTCGCATGCCTTCTGATGAACATGAGATGAAGCAGCGTGTATGAGCGGATAGTCCAAAAATATGCATGGCACTCCCCTTCATCAATGTGATTCTCTTGCTTATAGGCATGACATCCAAATGCTCTTATGATTTTGTAAACAATCTTGTCTACAAATAATTCTTGCTATCCTACAAAAACTTATCATTCTTTTGAAATGTTTGTCTCACAAAACTTCTCGTATTTCCCATATATTGGGTCCACTTCCCTTCTTTTATACAATTTTTCTTCTTTATTTATCTCCTCTCTCTTCCATTAACGCATTATGATCTCCACTTTCTCTTATCACAATTGAAAAGCAATAAATAATACACGCTACCTTATTTATAACTCACGTACACTCAACAAAACCCTACCATCAATATTCTCTTAAAACATGCAACTATGAGGAATGAGAAGTTTTTTGTGGGACAGAGGGAGTATAGTCTTAGTGGTATAGAATGCTTTTTGTATGAAATTTTTTATTCCAAAACTTATTATCTTTTTGCTTCAAATATCAACCAATTACTTATCACTCTATTATGTCTATTTTTCATTATTATACAAGTTTTTTTTATACTATCTGCATTTCGTATTATCTGCAACAAAGTGAGTTGCACATTTCCCAAGACAAAATTTCTTAAGTAAAGATTAGTGAAGAAAGGGGCATGTGATTAATTGGATGAGAGAGAAAGTAATCTCCACCAGCACCCACCACCAACACTCACCACCAACACCCACCTTCTCTCCGACACCACCTTAACAATACCAACATCCACCCAATGATACCACCACCAACTCCACCTCTATCCTCTCTCGGTGACCCCCTAAACCTAACATGCCTCATTCCCGACACCCCTTCACCCTCGGCGACCCCCAAATCAACATTGTAAACCACCATGCAACCACATACCTCGAAAACTACTGTACTTACCCATATCGAAACCATATCCCATCAACCTAGAAAAACCCACTACCATAAAAACCACCCCTTTTCGAGAGAAAACCACCCAGCAACCCTAAAATTATGAACACAAAGCTGGTAAATGGTAGATTATTACCGTCTAATCATCATTTTGGGCTTTTTTTTGGTTAAATTTGACCATAAAATCCTCAAGCTTTAGTGGTTTTGACCATAATATCCTCTCAAGTTATAATGGTGGTAATAAAAAAAGGAAAAGAGAAAAGTTTGGTGGTGGTATCACCACGGGCTAAGAGACATCGTCGACGATTTCGACTCGGGTCGACGTGTCACGTGTCACTCCATTGTGAAAGAAAAGAGAGAGAGAGAGAGAGAGGAGTTTCGTGGTGGCCGGAGAAGTTTGGTGGCGGTGACCGGAGGGAGCAGTAGTGGTGGACTGGTGGTGGTTGTTGGTGAAGTTTGAGGGAGGAGAGAGAAAGATGAATAAGGGAAAGTCTGGAAGATGATGAGTTGAATTGGTGATTGAATGGGGTTAGTTTGGGGAGGTTGATTTAGTTTGAGGATAGTTAATTTGTGTTTGTAATTTAATCAAGTCTCGTTTAGTCTTAAATTCTGATTTGGAAATTTTAAGGGTAATATAGTAATATTATACAAAAAATTTTACTATATGAGAAAGTTTTGGTTTGTTGCACATAAAATGTAGCATCCGTTTTAGGAATCTGTTGCAGATTATACAAAATGGAGGTAGTAATTAAAACCCAGTAAATCGCCTGCGACACTCAAAAGTTTCCCTTACAAGTGGTGAATAAAGGCAACCTATTCATGTGGTATTCATTTATAGGACTTCCATTTTCCTAGCATTCATACAAAGTCTCTAGTCTCCACTGGTTTATGTTTCTTAGATCCTTTAACCATTGAAATTCTTTGTTTAAGATTAAGCCACATAACTCTTGCCATAGTAAAATTAATTGATGGATTTCTTAATAATTTCAGATTCCGATAAAAATTTCCAAGAGATTACCATATCATTACAAGTGTCCCACATCTGGTTTTTAGCATCCTTATGATCCTTACTTACAGTTCCTGTCAGCAGTCCTAGCTTTTTGTTGGATGAAAGAGTTACTTCATGGATTTCTTCCTTGTTTTGTAATCGGATACATCCGTGAGCTTCCTTACATTGACGGAGCTTGCTCCTTATAAAAATGAAGATATAGACTTTTAGAGTGCTATTGATGTCTACTGCGTGCCTAATCTTGTTTTGCCATATTTTATGACAAAGATTTAATATCATTAGATAATAAATTTTAACGATAATATAGATTCTGAAAGAGTATAGAAATGAGAAGGGAAAGTGATGTGTTTATGGTTGGTATTATGGGACTAGTAGCCTTATCATATCTGTTTGTTTTTTTTTTTTTAATTATTTTTTACCTCAGCTTGGATAATGGATACCATGAAAACAAATGAAATATTATTTGCAGAATTTAAGTATGATATACAAGAATTCAGAGATTAGAGAAAGTTTGCTACAGTTTTATTCATTTCATCATTCTGATTTACAACCTATACTCTAGTACCTTATATAGTGTGGCTATCATCACAATCATTCACCAACCATTTTATCGGACATTCTCTGGAACATCACCTAGGTCAGCAATACAAAACAACAAACTATAAATATCTTGCTAAGGAACTGCCAACAGCTGGCAGGAATACAAACAAAAAGAAAGAAGACTGCACAAGGCAATTTTGGGTTGGCTGAATGCATGAATTTGTATATGCTGATTTTTGTGCTTGGACTTGCTGCCTATTATCATAGATTACCATGCTTCCTTTAACAAGATTTAATCTCAGATGTTACTTTCTGGGAATCATGGGGCCGGTCTTTTAGTTAAGTATGCCATTGCTTTGTTCTGCTGGACGTGTTCTGTATTTCTTTTGAATGCTAAACATAATATCCCACATGAATTTTATTGTATTACCCTCAATTTTGTTTTGTAGAGGTTGCGCCTTATTGAAATTTATGATGTCAAAAGGCTTCAGATGCGGTATGCCACCTCTCTGATTGGGTGAGTCTCAGTGACGCGGTCGCTCCCCCTTCCTTCATGTAACTGTCTTAAATACTTATTGTCAAAATCATCTATTTTCAGAGGACAGACCAGTCTTGCCACCTTTGTAGCTGTATATCAGCTTTTTGGTCCTACATATCCAGGGATTTATGATAAAGAAAGAGGCATTTATAATCTTTTATATCCAGTAAGTTTTCTGGAGAAACATCATTGTTCTTGGATCTCCACAATCCACATGGAGCTACTTGTGCTAGTTTGCTTAGTCGTTCACTTTGGAATTTTGCAGGGATTGTCGTTTGCCTTTCCTATTCCTGCACAGTACACAGATTGTTGCAATGATGGGCAAGGTAGCATATTCTATGTGTGTCCTTAAACGAATCTTTTAGTTTACCATATCGTTTGTTCTCATCCTCATATTGTTATACATCAGCGGAATTGCCACTTGAATTTCCTGATGGTACTACTCCAGTCACTTGCCGTGTCTGCATATATGACAGTTCATTGGGCAAGAAGGTTGGAGTTGGATCACTAATGGACAAGGCTACTGTTCCTCCTCTGCCTGTTGGTAGCCTCTACATGGAAGAAGTGCATGTGAAGGTTTGGATTCTGACTTATGAAGTGTGTGATTGTACATCTTGTTACTAGCTTATAAGCTGTTTTGATTATTTTTATTTTTTTATTTTTTAATTCTGATGGGTGTTTGCACACTTCCCCTCAAAGGTGTCTTATTGGCAATTAGAGAAGCAGCCCTCTGCAATCAATTTGAGTTTTTCTTTGATACTTTATAATTTCTTGCAATAGAGGTATAGTCGCAGAATTTTGATTCTGTTTTGAATGTATTTACAGTTAGGAGAGGAATTGTGGTTTTCTATTGGTGGTCAGCATGTACCTTTTGGTGCATCCCCACAGGTATTTATTTTATTCTTTCCTCTTATAATTACAATACTGTTATATTTATCTTTTCATTGAGCCTATAAGCAATACTGTTATATTTATTTAGTCTGGCTGATCTCATGATATACTGGCAACTTACTGGTAATAATAAAAGAAATTCGTATCACATTTTGAATAAGCATAATAAGAAATAAATGCATGTAAGATATGGCTATTGCAATTCAAAGTAAAGAAGGGTTAATTTCAGTCATTGCTTTTAAATGGCATTGCTTTTAACCCTCTGGTGCTGCTACTGAGGATCTGTAATTAATTGTCGAGTTTGCAGGATGTTTGGACTGAATTAGGGCGTCCTTGTGGAATACATCAGAAGCAGGTACCAACTATTCTATGCTTATCTCTTTTGGAAATTACTCCCAGCACATATGGTTACTTTTGTAGAATTGTTTACAAAGTTGATAAACATATAATGTTGCTGTACTGAAAAATTAAACATTGAGCTGAAAAGGTCTTAAGAATGAACTAAATGAAATCATTGTGATAAGTGGGATAGATCTAATTTTCTATTGGAAGTGTATAACTGTATGTAAAAAAGATACAGGTAAGATGAAGAACTGAAGACTCGAGTTCCGTGGAGTAGGAAAGTGGTTTTAGATTCCTTAAACTGTTTTTTATTTAATTAATTTTTTTTTTTTTTTTTTTTTTTTTAATCTCGTATTGAGTGGGTTATGATTAGTTAGCAATGTTTCTGTACTTTTGTCATTTTTCATTTTTCCCCTCCTTAAAGCATACAGATTTTACTTTCTTTTCAACTGTTGAATTATTGCACATGTTGCGTGCCTGCTCAGGTTGATCAGATGGTGATTCATTCGGCCTCAGATCCACGTCCACGAACAACCCTTTGTGGAGATTACTTCTATAATTATTTCACGCGTGGCTTGGACATATTATTTGATGGGCAGGTGTGCTTCTTGTCAACCTCCTGTTCGGCCTATTGTGAACGCGTATTTCTCATTGACACTTCTTTGATTGGTTGTCAAAATTTCAGACTCATAAAATCAAAAAGTTTGTTCTTCACACAAATTACCCTGGGCATCCAGATTTTAACTCGTACATAAAGTGCAATTTTGTTATCCATTCATCCGACTGTAAGTGTTACTTTTTTGTGGGAATTTGTTTTAATGCATATGCAATAGTTCTTACTTCTTATCCGGTGTGTCTTATGTTGTGTGTAGTTGTGGGATCTTTTCCAGATGAAAGTAGCTCAAAGCACTGCATTACTGCAAGCACTAAGTGGGAACAAGTGAAGGTAATATTTTTAGTTGAATGGAAATGGTGTGTTGCCTGTGAATGATCCTCTGATTCCATCTCAAGTAGATGTGTGCATTTAAATGCTTGTCTTCTTGTTGACATATATGGATGAATGTATTATCAGAGTGAGAAGACAATCTCCAATTGGAAAGTGAAATTGTGAAAAAGTGTGACCTGGGGGGGGGGTGTTATCTCGATGGTTGCTTTGCTTTCTGTGGTTTCTTTTTATTCTGTCACTACTTGTTTACTTAGGACTGCTTGGAGCATCTATTATTACTATTTAACTGTATGTAGCTTCTTCTGGCCTCTAGGAAATTCTTGGTGATTGTGGTCGTGCTGCTATTCAAACTCAAGGTTCTACAAACAATCCGTTTGGATCTACCTTTGTATATGGTTATCAAAATGTTGCATTTGAGGTGAATTTCGTGGTTTGTAACTTCGCTGATTTCTGCTTATCCTAGAGCTTCTTATGTGAGTTTGGACTTTGTGGTGTAGGTTATGAAGAATGGTTATGTTGCCACGGTGACTCTGTTTCAGTCATGATAGATGTATGATAATTAACATTACTCATTATCAGTCAGTGTCTTATCTGCTTACTGTCTTCAATTCTGGTTTTCTTAGAATATCATCTATTGAATCTTCAAGCCATAACGGTAATAATGACTGTGTGCAGCCTTTGGAAAGCGGTCTTATTGATGGTGTGATACAGCCGTTGCTAAAGTGTGTATGGTTCTTTGATCTCAAATTATCTAATTATCTTTGCTACTGCAATATTGGACCCCACTTATTGGAGTTTGATTGTGTGCATTTCCTTATCACATTCACATACGTCACCACATTCGTACTGTTTACTTGCAGCTTGAGAATGTTGATTATTGATCAACTGTTGTATAATCAGAATGGTACTTTTGGTTAACTATATTTGTGAAGCCCAAGTTGTTGAAATTACGGTAGTGCATGTAGATAAAAGTTTTCATGCTTCAACCTTTCAATCTTCATCTTACGGTCTTACCCCATAATGCTACAGCCTACAGTTGCTTTTTACTTGTTAATTACCAACCTATTAATATTGGACTATTAGTTAATATTGTTTTCCAATTGTTTCAAGTTAATTTATTCTTGGGCACTTGCTTTGTCTGCAGGAAGGGAGTGGAAGTTTAAAGTCATATCTAAACTTGCTCATGCCTGCCCGCTTTTTCCTAGTTGAAATGTCAGGAAGCAAGTGAAACACAATGTTAAATGTACAGCCACACTGTATCATGTACAGTTCTACTCACAGTGAATGGAATTTCTTTGAAGCAAATATATAATTCATCAACTCAGTGTACATTCCTAATTCTTATCGGAGGGGCATATACTGCCAGCTCCTTCTGTAATTGATGTCATGGCTGCTTATAGTTCATGTTCTATACCTAGTTTCTGTTTCAGAATTCCAAATCGTGATCTGCATACAACTATCTCGATAATTGTATTTGATACGTTGTTACCTTTTTTTATTTTATTTTTATTTATTTATTTTACCTAATTAATTATTAATTTTGGTACCCTGGACAATTTGTTCTGGAATCTGTATTGTGCTCACTGTTCAGCCCAGTAGCCCACATCTCTGCTGTTATTAGCCACAAGGCCATAAGGAGACTAATTGGTTTAAAGTGTGCGCAATTTTATAATGAATGAGAAAGGATAAACATCAAATTACAATATAGTGGGAGCCAACAGACTGCAGAAGAGGATAACCAATGGACCTCAAACCCTTATCAAATTAGGTTCCTAAGCCATTCATAGCCATCAATGAAATCATAGGAAATAAATGGTTGAGCTTCTTGTGAAGTCAGCTCCCTTGACCACGCTACCCTTCCCCCGTAGTTAGCTCCTGGTCCTGAGCACTTGTATTGCCCATAAAATACTGTCCTGCACCCACCACCAACGATTAATTAGTTAGCTGAATACATGAGGCATAATAATAATTAATAGCAATGGAGTATGTAGGAAGAGGCATACATATCCCTGTTTTTGTCACCCCAATCATACCAGCCCCCAGGGGCAATAATCTTGTCCATGTAAGTGTATGCGAAGACAACCCTAGAGAAGGTACCCCAAGCCCTGCCAAGGTAAAGTGCACCTGATCCAGTGACCTTGCAATTCAGAAAAGAAAACCCTGTTTCTTCCAAGAAGCTCTCTCTCTTCTGGGCAGTAAGAGCTCCATAATTGTTGGACACGGCATGCAAATGGCAGGCATCATAGAGTGAGAGTCCGTTACCAAACACAAAGTCCACAGACCCTTGGATGTAGCATTCCCTGAAGTAATGCCTTCCAATGTGATCATACAGAGTATCCTGTGTCCCTATAAATTTGCACCCTATAAATGCTGCTTTGTCTGCTGAAATCCTCAGTGCCACTGCTTGTTTCCCTAGTGCTCCTGTTGGCGGCAATGGTGCAACGTTCTGTTTATACAGAAATAAACAAATTCACCACATGTTGAAACAAAGCTAGTATCTCACTTGGATTCACGTATTTGTTTTTGACAATCATCCATAAAAGGTCACCATACAGAGAGTGAGGGATAGCTTAAGTGGTTAGAACTTCCCTCCCGGTTCCAGGAGAACCTGGGATCGATTCTCACCCCCCACCCTTGTGGCTCTCTAAACACTAAAAAAAAAAAAAAAAAGGTCACCATACTCCAAGTTAATGTATACACTTCATACACTTGAGGTACTTGAGTTACAATACTCAACACATAAATGATGGATTGTGAGCATTTCAATATTGGATGATTATTCAATCAAATTGTTTAAGTATCATGAATTTTAAAATTTCAGTGATTCTATCCTGAAACAACTTATAACTATCATCTCTGTATCAAATTATTTCAGTTTCCAGCTCTCTAGACACAAGTAAAGCAAACATTGTAGCATACAAGCGAAATGTATTTGGTAATTTAAGCTTTAATTATTAGTAGTTTGAAATCGTAGCGTAGTATAATCATAATACTGACCTTGAAAGTAATATTCTTGGCAATGAAGTAGGGGGAATTGACAGCAAAAGTAGCAGAGCCATAAGTTCCTAATGGCTGCCTACTTTGCCCTAACCTATCAGCTGTGTCATCCCACTCAATAATGGTCTTATCTGCACCTGCTCCTTTAATTGTTATATAAGCCATTGTTACAGGAACTTCCACCTTTTCCCTATTTGTTGATATGAGGAATCACAATGCCTACAATTAGTATTATCTTATCGCATTGTAATGTACTCAGTAATAATATATATATATAAATCAAGGTTTGGTGGATAACTGTGTAACATTATCTTAATATAGAGGTAGAGATAAGGCTTGTAATGAAGCACTAACCTGTATGTTCCTGGACCAATAGATATGACCACTCGACACGAGTTAAGGATTGGGAGTGACTTGATAGCCTTCTGCACACTAGGAAAATGCTTTGATGATGGTTTAGGGTGTTTTCTGACTTTAATAGTTTTGCAAGGCTTAGATTTAGTCTTTGTTTTTTGTTTATGCTGTTGGAATTTGGTATTGTGCTTGTTAGACTTGAATTTGGTCTTGGAAGCAATGTGGTTGACCCATTGAAAGAAGTCTTTCTCAACAGATCTCAACTTGACAGTGGATACATTTTGGTTAGAATTAGCCAAGGAGTAATCAGTACGAACACATTGGAGAAATGAAGCTAGCAGCAGTAGTTTGAGTATTATCATACTGATCGAGTTGTCTAACAATTTCTCTGGAGAGATGTTTGTGTATTCAGAAAATGTGGTTGATACAAGAAAATAGGATATTGTGAAAAAGGGAGACTGAATGCCCCGAGTAAGTAGCCCTATATAACAATGTCCATAATAGAGGGGTATGGAAATGGTGAATAACAATTTCCATCACAACTATACGACATGCCCTACTTGGGCTGCATGCAGTATTGACTTTCAGAAATTTGTTTTTTTGTTTTTTTGTTTTTGCAGTGCTTAGTGATTCGATGCAACACTAAAGTGATTCAACGTATAGATTGAGGATTCAATGTTATACAGTAATTGTCTAAAGTGAGTTTGAGTAATAAGTATCCTTAGCTTGAGATTAAGTTGTAAAGACAGATTAAAGGGATGAATGAAGCATAAATCAGAGGTAGAGATAAGACACAAGTATATGAAAATGGTTGTATTATAGCAGAGTAAGTAGGACAGGGTAAAGTCGGAGTCCCCAATGCAAAAAATGTCATCTAGTATAGAAAACTCACGCATGTGATACCCTTTTATAATTTCTGGGTAATAATATCATATACTTGGTATTTATGTGGGTACTGTTGTGCCCACTAATTTGGAATTTGTATCATACCAATTGCCTTCACACTTCACACTTCACACTACGTACAGCTAAAGCTAAGCAACAAACAAGTATGGCACCTCTTGGACTTGCATTTCCAGTGGAAGATAGAAAATTGCATTAAATGGTAAAAATTGGTAGCTCCACAATTTGGCATTTGGTTATAATCATGAAAATTGATGAGAGCATGTATGTATTTACTCCATTTCTTTAGCTTGCTCGTATACAAAATGAATTATGATGGCATTACTAATAATTTACCTGTACTATTATCATTTTTCACTACTTTGTAATGGAGTCAAGTCTTGTTTCTTATCACTTGCTTGGTTATTTCTAGTATTCTCAAACCTCTTTTCCTCAAAATTATGGACTATGACAACATATCGTAAGCTACACTCGTCAACCTTTATGGACTTGTAGCTTATTATAAGAGTACTCCGGCAGTGAGGAAAAAAGCCCTCACGAGTAAAAATAAAGGTGTAAAAAAAATACCCGAGCATTACATTAGTGAGGGAAAAAACCCTCACCGTTGAGAGCTATGGAAAACGCACAAGAGTTGAGGGGAAATACTCGTGAACAGTAACCGGTGGGCCCCACATGTACACGCAGCTTTCCCTTTTTTTTTTCCTTTCTGACTTGCAAAACGACGTCGTTTTGCCTTAAAGAAGGGCGAAACGACGCCGTTTTGAGGGGCAAAAAGGGAAAAAAAAAATAAGGGGGCAGCTGGCCTGACGCGCGTCAGACCCAGCCAATGGGGATGCGACACGCGTCAGGCTTTGTCCTTCCAACCAATCAGATTTTTTTGCTTTTATTACAACGATTATATTTTTGTAAGGTAAATATAACCGTTGTAATTATAAAAAAAAAAAAAAAAACAAAATTCACCAACGGATAGATTTTTTTTTTCTCTATAAATAGACATGCATTTTGATATATTTTGATATACTTTCAAAAAACCCATAAATACTACAAATTTCCTTCTTTTCCCAATTTCTTTGAGTTATTTTCATCATTTTTATTATTATTATTATTCGTAAAAAAAAAAACCCTCAGTTATTATTTAGTATTATTATTATTATTATTATTATTTTCTGTAGTAGTAGTAGTGTTAATTTAAAAAAAGTAGTAGTTTTATTGCTTTAGGATATCATCATTAGTAATTGCCTCAATTAAATATCAAAATGTATGGATGCTTCTTTTGAATGCATTTGATTTGTAACAGCCATCCTATATTCCACTACTTTTAAGCTTTGGCTAATGAAAGCTTTCTGCAAAGAAGTATGATTCCTCACCTTTGGCTAAGTATCAAGGGAGAGTGGTTGTTTGTAAGTGTATCAATTCTCTATTCCAGCTGGCATGATTTCACTTATTTGCCTATACTTAGATGCAAACGGTGCCCTTGCACAAAATTCTTCATACAGTGTAAGCAACAACCTGCATGGTCAAAAACTTCATTTTGAGGTGGGTACTTCATACATGTATAGCAACCAGTAAATTAGTTATTAAAACTCATAATTGGTGGTAGTTTATTATATATCGTCATAATTCTCAACACTCATTTGGGCTCAAAACTACCATTCTTGTATATACATGATTTCATATCCTTTTCTTATCTGAGATCTCTAGGTTAAACAAAAAAAGAACCAGGGCTTATGGCCGTCCTAGAGGTTTTTATTTTATCTGATTTATTTTTGACCCTAAGGCTCATGTACACAAAGTAACTATAATAATCAAATAAATCAATCAATCAAAGCCTTAAGTAGGGTCACCTACATGAACCAAATTTGATTATTTCGCATAGTCATACCAAAATCTTCCTCCTTCATCCCTTACGATCAAATGCCTCATCCTCATGCAAATCCATATACTTCATATCCTTCCTAACTCCTTTTAACCAAGTCATTTTCAGTCTCCCTCTCCTCGTTTAATCCTCCATGGTCCCACTCTTCCATTCTTTGTACTGTTGCACCCTCAAGTCTCCATCTTACATGCCCAAGATATTCCCTTAGTTTGTCTGTAATGTCTGCCACACCTACAATCTTGCGAATAACCTCATATCTGATTCTATCTCATAGAGTGTTCCCGCACATCACCTTAACATGCACATTTTCGTAATGATACGGTCCCTCATAAGCCTTAGCTATCCTTATTTTCAATACAACAATAAATTAAAATTTATGAAAAAATTTTGTATTGATATGCAGGATATACTGTATCTCCTCTTGACCGCTATTTTATGTCATCTTTTGGGAATGATAAAGAATGAGCTAAGGTCTATTAGAATGATATCTTCCTTTGAAAAGATAACCTATACTACCTTCGTTCCTGTAAGTTGGCTACACCTACTCTTTCATCCATTTGGTAATGATATATTACGCTTTTACACTTTCCTACTCTACATGTGACATTTTGTTCCTACTTCTTCCACATGCCACGTGGCTGATGGCACTACACTTTTTCTTTCTCTCCATAATCTTTGTGCAAATAGTTGTAATCTGTAAATAACTCAAAGGAAAGGTAGTACAAAAGCTATATTTAGAATTGACACTCGTTTTAAAAAAGAAAATCATGTAAAAAATTGTATTTTTTTCTTTTTAAAACTTTAGATTTAAGTGTGAGAGAGTTCTTGAAAAGAATGTTGACCACAGACTTTCATCCAAAATTCAGCATTTCCTATGGGCCTTAGGAAAACTTGAGTTTCACTCCAAACCTGTGCTCATTGCTATAAACACATTTGATTATAATGATAGTATTGTGTCTCTTTAGTATCTGCCTGAAAGCTGTTCATTTTGTTTTATTTTATGCAACAGCTGAGTCATAACTCCAACCTTTATGGAGTGATTCGGTCCATAACTATCATAATCCATCACAACTTGATGAAAAAGAAACGAAACGAAAGAAATGAGTAACTTTCTGTTCGTTCTCTTATAATTTATATGCACCAATTGAAACAAGTAACACATATGTATTGTATAGAAAAATAAGGGGGAAGCCTACTGTCAGTCTATCTCTACTTCTTGCAAAGGAGGCCATTTTGTGGGCTTCTTGCTTCCTCAATCATAGATTTATGCTAAAGGGTATTGATTTAAAGATTTTGTGCTTCCCAAAATCAACCATGAACAAATTTTAGGGTGACTTGGGCAGTCTTTCACATTCTTCAATAATTGTGTTCTCTTTGGGTTTTTCTGTTTTTTTTTTTTTTTTTTTTTTTTTAAAATATTAAAAAATGGTCCTACCCACTTTTCGGTTTGAGGTATTTTTTTTAGTGCCCACTAATTAAGCCAAACAAAAGAAATGCAAGTTTCTTCCTTTTCTCTCTTCACTCTCACTCCTCCGCCTTTCCTTTCCAACCATTTTTAGAACCAAGCTAGCTGTTTAAGTTATAATCAATAGAAGAATATGACACATAATCATTTAAATCAGATACCGTTTAGTACAATAAAAGTTGACACACTCTTGGTAATAAACAATATACCTCATCAGAAAAGAGGGCGATGCAAGTCATTTAAATCGGGAATTTACATTTAACAACTTTTTTTTTTTGAATAATACATTTAACAACTTTATTACTCCGTATTAAATAATTTACAATTTACATGTATTGACTAATTATACGGATTACAGATTAGACATTCAATAAATAAAAGCATCACTTTTTTTTTTTTTTTTTTTGAAAGAAAATAAAAGCATCACTTAGATACTTTAGAAACATACCTTGCAAAGGAATTAGTTGCCTATTTTGCCAATTATGTGTATACCTTGAATGATTTTCTAAGTAGATTTGGGAGAGACAATGGAGACGTTCCTACAGAGAGATACAAAATGATTACATCCTTTCATTCTTATAATAGTATAAAAGTGATAAAACAAACGATATGCTAATATAGTAATATTGTAATCATCAGTCTTCTTCTTCTGTTCCTTTTCTCTGCTAAAATTCGTTAAGTATCTCAGCAAAGATGATGCTTGAGCATGGCAATGATCTTAAGCTCTGGTCTGAAACTCTGAATGATATCATGCCATGTGTCAGAAGTTCCTTTGTACCAATTCCAACTCTAAATGTAATTTTGGTATGTTAATTCAATCTTTAGGAATTGTCTGACACTAGGTATTGTAAATTGCATTAATTTGTTTGAGGTGGTGTTAAGACTATACTTTAAACTCCTTAGAAATGTTGTTTTGACGTCATCACTTCATGCAGATGTCTTTCCAAGAATCAACATTAAAGACCCATACAAACGACTTGGAATAAGTGTTGATGCCTCTGAGGAAGAAATTCAAGCAGCAAGGAACTTTCTAATACAAAGATATGCTGGGCACAAACCAAGTGTAGATGCAATTGAAGCGGCTCATGATAAAATAATCATGCAGAAATTTTATGACCGAAAGAAACCAAAGTTGAATATTAAAAAAAAGGTAAGGGATGTGACTCAGTCCCGTTATGTGCAGGCGGTGATGAGCAGGTTCCGCACCCCTTCAGATAGCAAATTCATTGTGATAACGTCTGTTGCGTTCTTGTTGCTTGGAGCTCTAACCGTCCTCTTTCCTACTGAAGAAGGGCCTACTCTTCAGGTTGCCCTTTCTCTAGTGGCAACCATATACTTCATATATAGCAGGCTGAAAAGCAAAATCCGAGCTGCACTTTATGGGTAAGTGCTGTTTAGTTTGCTCTGATGCTTCTAACCTCTCATTTACGTCTCTACTCTCTAGTGTCACCATGCATGCTAACCTTATAGTTAACTTGGTCCTTTGTTTGATATAATTATAAATTTGATTAGCTTGACGTGTTAAAATGCTTGATTTAGTATATTTTTCTTGGCTTCTTCCCACTTTGACTGCTTAGGCTTGAAATCTAGCTGACCAAAGAAATTAAATATACACTAGGAAGAGGATTTTTTAGCAGAAGCTTATATAAGTTTAAATCTGGACATCAATTGATTGTTTTCTATTGGCACATTCAATAGCTATGTTTCGCTTGTTTTGTTTATCTGATCTCCATAAGCAAGAATATGACACTGCATAGATTTTTGGGAGATTATAGTAAGCTGAATCAACCTCTCATTGATTGATTCTTCCAAAAGAAAGCATATGGCTGATTGAGTTGTGGGCTTTTTTTTATTTGAAACTAGTGTGTGGCCCGGGCTTTGCCCCGGGTGATACTTTGAATAATTTCGTTTTTATATTAGACGCTTTAAAAGACGTAATTCATAATTTTTTTACGTGGTAAATTTGAAAACAATGACAACAATAACTCCTTTCGGATTTTTTTGTTTTATATTATATTATAATACTTGTACTATATGTATTTATATATAAATGTGGAAACATAGATTATAATTTAATTTTAGCTAAGATGGCAATGCATGTGGTTTTTATTCAATGAAGTTTAGGTTCGAATCTCTTTGCATGCATTTTTTAATTAAATTGAATAATTGAATGATGATGTGACATGATGGTAGAGCTTGTTGAATGATGATGTGGCGTAATACGGGTGTAAGAAGGGGTACACGTGGCACATACACAATTTTATAAACGCCTTTTAATATATAGTATAGATTGTAGAATGTTGCTCTGATGCAGTGGCGGAGCCAAGATTATTATGTTGGTAGGGCACCATTTATTACATACTAATCGAGTAATCGACAAAAAAAGCCTAATGAAATTCTAGAATATAATGCTAAATATACTTTTAATTCTATAAAATTACTAATTAAGATCTACCATTTATAGAAAATAATTTCATTGGAGACAAACTTGTTAAAAAATAAAATATTAAATTTAAACATGTTAAAGATCTTCTGGATGTAGGTTTGCTCACAGTATTGGATAAAAGAGAATACATAGTATATAGTATTTGCCCTTGTTTGACAATTGGCTGCTGGTTGTTGGCTGTCAGCTGGTTTGACCGGTTGTTTGTATCGGCTATTTTGTTGGTTGTTTCACTTTTTATCAGTCTAAAAACATGTTTGGTAAAATTGACTATTGGATGTTGTTAGTAACTTAGGTAGTTAAAAACCAAAAGCCAAAAGTTACTCCAAGTAGCTTTTTTATTTTGGCTTGCTTAAAAGCCAGTTTTTTAGCTAGCTAAAAAAAAACCATTTACCAAAACAAATTTTAAATATTTGACCAAATAAAAAAGTCAAAAAACAATTAAAAAGCCAATAAAAAGTCATTTACCAAATAAACCCTATTTTTGTTTTTGGGCTTTTTGGTTTTTAAATTTATATTCCTATGAGCTATGACACGGGAATCAATATTTTGTGGGTATTTTTATTATTAAAAAAACTTGGGGATAGTAAAAGTCAGAGATTCAGCTTTTATGCATAGACAACCTAGCTAAGTAAACAATAGTCCAAACCATATTCAACTTTTACTGAATTTTGACAAGTTTTGTAGGTGTAAAAAAAAAAAAAAAAACTGATTTTTTTTTTTTTTTTTTTTAAATCTGGTAGGGCACGTGCCCTACCAGGACATATGCTCCCTCCGCCACTGCTCTGATGCTTCCTCTGTCCAGAATTGTATAAATTTAGGATGTTTGAATATTAATCACCACTTTGCCAAAAAAAATATAAGTAGTAACAATATATGACTTGCCTTCTAAGCACAATAATACATTAATAATTATTTAATCTACACACCACATATACCCAGCCAAATGCTACTCATATGAAGTCCATTTCTCGTGCTCAACTTCTTCAGTCCAGCTACATCACCTCCATGTAGCAAGTCTGAGCAATATCCTCTTTAGGTTTATGGAACCTAAGTAGATTGCAATCTCTTTTGTTTATAAGATCAGTCAATTGTTACTCTAAATTGAGTCCTGACAATTGCTTTCCCTTGTGCAGGGGGGGAGCATTTATTTTCTCATGGCTCTTGGGTACCTTTCTGATGGTATCTGTTGTTCCGCCTATACTAAAAGGACCAACGAGTTTGGAAGTGACCACTTCTTTGCTAAGTTATGTGCTTCTCTGGGTTGCTTCTACATATCTGAAATAATATTCTCAGCTCTATGAGTTTTTGCCAGCTGCACACTATTTGTCTGCCTTAAGTGATTTCATTCTCCTGATTTTTCCATTAGATTTGTTATACGGGAACACTAAATTTCAGCAGATGTAAGGAATTTAGAGAGATTATTAATGGAAGAGTATTTATTTTTCTATTAAAATGATATACTGTTAATTAGGTCAAGCCTTTCCCCCAACCTTAAATGTTATTATAGGTTTATCAAAGATGTGATTGGCCATTTTTTGTGGCTTGTGCTGTTCTTTTCCATTGGAATTATCTACATGGAACCCACATCATCCTCATAGTTCATATGAACTGATTGATGTGAAACTATATTATTATTTGCGACTCGTATTATGCGATTGCATAGAGTGATAGAACCCCTGAGACTTGGATGTTTGGTCCCTACACCAAATCTTGTTCACAGAACGTTCTAGTAGATGTCAATTTTGGCCTCTACAACTTGTATGTAAATGGTGGTTTTTCCATTTTCTAATTTGTGTGGCAGATTTCTTTGTTTTCTTAACAGCAACAAAACATTACAAGTTGCTAAGATTCTGTAATAATTGTATTCAGAGTTAGTTTGAAGATCTTGAGCTCTACATTTTGTTTTCCCTAATCATCTTCGGTCATGTGAGGTAAACCAGAGTTGGAAGTTTTCCACTGTAAAAGATAGTACTAGTGATCTGAAATTTATTATTACCTCTGTTCCATATTATTTGCAACGATTAGACATTTTTCCTCTCTATGTTATGTCAAATCGTTGCAAATAATATGTAACGGAGGTAGTAATAATGATTATATCATATCATATGATCTAAGAAGATTATATTTCATTTTTGGGCTATCCTATGGAAAGCCAAACAAACTTTGTGTTAATGTAATTGCCACCTTCTCTTAAAAAAAGAAAAAAGAAAGAAAAAAAAAGAAGATTATATTTCAAGCAAATGGCCAAGTGATGTCATCATATTTCCCGTCAAGCACTCCAGTGTTTTATGTGCTCTCTCTCTCTCTCTCTATATATATATCTATATATATATATATAGGATTTGTTCTCATTGACTGAATTCAGCTGAATTGAACTGAAATGAAATGAATATTTTATAAGAGAAGGAAATTAGGAGATGAACTGAACTGAAATGAATTTCAACGTATGAGAACAGACCCGTATATATATATATTAAAAAGGAAGAAAAAAAAGAGTTAATAAGGAAAACAGGGAAAAAAATGGGAATAGCCCCAAAAGATGGGGAAAAGGACGGTGAAATAAGAGGTACTCCCTCCGTTTTTAAACACTTGCTTCATTTCTCCGTGCGCGGAGTTTTAGGATAAATTGGAGAAATATAAAATGGAGGTAGTAGGGTAGTTGAGAAAATAAAAAATTGTAAAAAACAAAAGTAGTGGAAGAATAGGTAGAGAGAGAGTATTATATTGAGTCTACTAAGTGTGAGAAATGAATTAAATATTGTAAAAGCTTTCCAAAGGAGGAAATAGAGCAAGTATTTAAAAACGACTGGAAAAGGAAAGTGGGGCAATTATTTAAAAACGAAGGGAGTATGTGATAAACGAGTCTGGGTGCACCCGTCACAATTGTCCACTTAATACGACCAAGGAGGTTCCATCTCAAAACCATATGACAATGAAAGGAATAGCCCCTTAGCTTTATAAAGTGGACACAATTATCTTCTTTCTTCGATGTAGGATACACATCCCAATACAAACTCTCACTTATACACTCAATTAATGTGGACAACACACCACTCATATGTGGGTTTTCTCATGGGTTCAACAATATGGGTATTAGACTAGTCAAACTCATTCTCAAAACTTTAAGAACCTATTGTTAGACTAGTTAAAGTTCCAACCCAATTATTATCACTTCCAAAATTGGCTTGAAAGTGTGGATAATAGCATTTAATTTTGGATAATTTTTCACTTTTTTGGATTTGGAAAGGTAACAAGTTGAGGTGCTTTCATGGACCCCAATGCCCATAATACTTTGGGAGTCCATTTGGGTGATTGGATTCGTCCGCTTTGCCATTAACTTATCAATTTAGCCATTTATAACTTACACACCCCTTCATAATCATTCAACTCAACCGTAAGACTTTATATGCTCGACTAGTGGTCATATATAATTTCAAGCAATATTATATGACCCTGAGAAGCGTCCCCTACAATCTCGAGAATTTTGACACTAGATCACGAAATATCCTAAATTGATTTGATTTTGTGTATTATACTCTTTACGGACTCAAAAGAAAAGAGGTCTTGGTACTTCCCATTGACCCCAAAAGGCCAAAATACCTTGGGACATTTGAGTGATTGAAGTCGATCGATTAGCCTTTAAATTGTCAATTTAGTTGTTGACGTTCACACATGCCTTAATTATCTCAAGACCACCATATGCTTTTAAGTGTATAAGTAATGATCATATATGATTCCGAACAACATTATATGACCTCAAAGGTGCATTTCTTGCCATCCAAAGAGTTTTCGACACCGGATCCTAGAGCCTTCAAAAATTAGTTTAAAAGCATGGATTATAGATTTTAGTTTTGCACAATTTAAGTTTTTTTTTTATTTATTTTTTTATTTATTTTTTTTTTTTTTTTTTTTTTGGGGACTCAAAGAAGAAATAAACTAGTTAGGGTGCTTCCATGGTTTCTATGTAATCGACTAACAAACGTGTATGGTTCCAAACAATATTATAAACCCCGAGATGCTTCCCTTTGAATACTTCATAAAAAGTCAGCTCCCAATCATCAGTTAAGAAACAAGAGAACAAAGCTTCATCGTATAATCCAACAACTGAAAGAGATTAAAACTAAAGTTTCACTTCAATTTAAAACAAACAAGGCCTTAAATACGTAGTAATTAAAATGAAATTACATTCTGAAGTAAATTACAGAGTACATCCATTAGTCATAAAACAGTGACCTCGTCAAAGAGTACATTGTACAAAGTAGTGGCTTCTACACTTCCCAGCATAATGAGACCCGGGTCAATTCCACCTGGGTCAATTTTTACTAAGCACACTTTGAGGGGATTTCCTCTACCCACACCCCAACCTAACCCCGGCCCCTATATGGTGTGCCTTCATCATTTAGTTTTTTTTTTTTTTTAAAAAAAAAAAAAAATTACGTCCACACAGCTGTATAACAGTATAAGAACAATAATTATGCCCAACAGTAGCTTAGGACGGTTATATAGCAAATAGCACATATTCGACAGGTTAAATACAAGTGTTTCCAGATGTATAAGCACCCTCATTACACAGAACTCCAACCCCTAGCAGTATTTTGGCACTCAGACAACCAAAGATCTATGTGCTCTGTTACCTGTTGTCTCACTTTGTTGACAGCATCAGGAGAGCTACATTTCTTGTCATCACCTGAGTCAAAACATTTGAGAGTGTGTTGAGTAAGAGACTACCAATAATAAAATTAAGAGCGAGAGCTTCAAGTACAACACATCCAACAGAAACATCTTATCATTCCTCCTGATGTTTAGATTTTCAATTCAGAAAGGGAAGATTGAAACCTAATTTTCAATTTTCCTGTATGTCTTTAAAAACAGGTACTTCGGGTGAGAAAATTTTTTCAAAATACAGCCTCATTTTCTGTACAGTCTTTTGCATATATACTAGAATGAATCCCAACTCATACATATAGCCCCTAACGTACTTTTTAGATCTTCAAACACGAAGCTACATATGAAATATCATTCTTAGATAATGAAATCCATGCCTCCAAAAAGACTTGAAAAACATGGCATATTTGTGCAACATGTACACACCTTCAATACTCAATGGTGATTGAGGGCAGCCCCGCAAGTCAGTCCCATGGCCGCAATTGTGACAGGTGACAACATAAGAAGGCCCTGGAAGATGTGACAACACATACATCAGTAGAAAAAACAAAAACAAAAAAAAATGGTGGCAAACAAGCTCTATCCCAATATCCATCACTTTTGATTGTGATTCCCTGGTCCCTATATCAGGATTCACGATATTCCAATTAACCGCCCAATTTTCAATAAACAAATTTCACTACAGATGTTTTATCACAGAGTAAAACTTATAATACAAGTTATACTAAAGTTTAAAACACTCTATGTCAGGTGCATCGTTTCAAAAAATGACTTACCAAAAATGATATATTTTTTTTTTTTTAGGGTTTTTTGTCAGAAACACCTAATAAAACCTAACTTATGTGAGAAACTACCTAATATAAAAATGTTGTAATAAAGTACCTAATAAATGATAAAATGTTGTAAGATACTACCTTTGGCCGAGTTTTTACCGTTAATCTTATTTTATGGCGTTGACTCATCTCAAAACACCCCAAAAACCACCACGGGGGTTGGTTTTCAAAGTAGTAAGGATATTTTCGGGGTGGTTAGAGGATATTCCGAGTTGGTCACGGTAGTTTTGTGATTCGGGATGTTGGCTTTTGGGGTTAGAGGTGGTGATTCTGAGGTTTGGAGGGTGGTTTCAACGTGGTGGAGGCAATTTCAAGTAGGTTGTGTTGGTTTTAGGGTGAAAGCGATGGTTTTGGAGGTGTTTTGAGGTAGGTCAATGGTAGATTTCCGGCAGAGGTAGTATTTTACAACATTTACATTTTATTAGGTAGTTTCTTACAACATTTTTTATTAGGTAGTTTCTCACAAAATTTGGGCTTTATAAGGTAGTTTTTGACAAAAAAAATCCCGCTCTTTTCGTTTAACAAATGTTGTTTAATAAAAGATTCTAGAATATTTTGGTTCCCTAGAGATGTTGAATTTTGTCTTTCTTATCATGGTTTTTTACTAGCTTAGTGTTTGAATTAAGGGTGTTGCGAGTCGCTTACTCGATATATAAAAGAAATTGAAACATAAAATTCGGATATTAGAGCTGGAAGTGTCTCTTACTACAGGTATCTCTAGAGAATGGATAATTTGTTGCTCATTTTTTTTTTTAAAAGAAAAAAAAAATACAAATACAGTTATCTAAAAAGGCAGTATTGTGAAGGCTACTCACTGTCAGGAGATGAAATCTGTTTGGATGCATGTCGCCAGGGGTCTTGTGAGCCATTTGTAAATACTATCTTGGTACCTGTCAATGAAAGAGCAAGACTGTTTAAATAATATAATTTACGCAAAAACTTTCTCTATTATCCTGTTACTATGAATCAGATTCCCAATATCCAGGCCAGAGTTCTTTCAAGTAGGCCAAAGCTTCTAACATGAGAGGCACAACTCTTTGCACATGAGAGGCACAAAACACAAACCTTTACAAATTACATAACAGACAAGCATTTCTGTGAAAAGTCAGATCCAGAGAGGAGGCCCTATGTAATAACTATATCATTGACAAAGGAAATGGAAAGTGCAAACCAGCTATCTTTGTGCCTCCATAGTACAAATTAGTCTCATCAACTTCAGGGTAAACTCCATCTCCAAAGACATTCTTGCATAGGTCCAAATGGTATCTGTACATACAAACATTCAAAAATGATGAATTTGATGATACAATGAACTGATTTAAGGAGAGGAGCACTTTAGGTAGCATCTTTATTATTTAGTTATGGGTATCTTGGGAAATAAGCTAGGTAGGTAGGGAAGAACTTATAAAATAGAAGATTAGGTCATTAGGAGGGGATTTATGTTAAATATTGAGACAAGTTATCAATTGTAGCTTTGGGAGAGTGCCATTTCTCTCGCAAATAGGCAAGGCTGTAGTTGGCATTATTTCAGTCATATCCATCTTGTTCTTCACTAATCATCTTCTGGTTCCCTTAATACATCATTTTTGTCCATAATTTCTTTATTTTGGTGCTTTATAGCAGATGAATAAGAAGAGTTTTAAAATGGAGCATGCAGTTACATGAAAGAGCAAGAGAGGGAGGTAAAAAAGAAAGCAAACCTTGTGTCGACTTTAGATGATCGAATGCTATCGTTTGCAGGTGCTACCTGGAAATATGCAACTTCACTGCACACTTGGAACCACCACAATCTATCAGAACTACCAGAAACAACGTTCTTCAGGTGCTCTTGATTATAAGTTTCAACACTAAAGCCAAAGTTGTCTTTCACATATGAGGCATAAGCACCCTGCATAAAGGACTCCAGCTTAATATAGCAGAATCACAGAAATAATACTGAAATGCAACAGAAAGAAGCATCTAAAAATGAACAGAGTCCATCCCTGATACTCAAAGATATACATAATATAGCAGCTTAGATGATATTAAGGATGGAGCACCAGATATACATCGATGAAAGAAATGAGGGGGGCATACCACTAAATCTTGACCCGCTTTCTTTGCTTCAACAAGAGGAGAGCACAACTTGTCAGGATTTCCATACTGAAACTGTGGGATTATGAAAGTAGTGAGCCACTAACAAGGAATGACGGGAAATATATTCAATAGGTTAGAGTGAACTTACAGCAGTAACCGCAGCATCAGCCAGAAAATACAGGAAGTCCCCATCAATTGTTAGCTACACGAAGATTAAGGAGAAGCTTTAAATAAAACCAATCATAACAAGCCCAAATACAGGTTATAAATATGTGACATAGTCAAACATAATTCCTAAATGCTTTATTAAATCCATTGTCAAGATTTTACCTCAGAAGCCCCAAAGGCTGACTTTAGAGCCTTCGGGTATGAGGTCAACCCTTCTTCAACAAGCTGTGTAACTTGTTGCAAAGCAGATTTACATTCTGGGCCAGCTGAGGCACCTATCTGCAGTAGAGACACACATGGGAGTAAATTATAACTTTATGCAGCCTCACGAAAAACAAGCACCACTAAACGAGAGTGGTGAACACAGAGATTGATGAAACACAAACCAAGATCACCCACCTGCTGGTCAAACTCTGTAAAGTTGTATACAGCAAGAACCACACCAGAACTTGCAAGACTTCCACAAGTCAAATGAGGAAACTTTAGGCGGAACCAAGCACTAAGAGCTCCAGAGTAGGAGATACCGAACACAAACCAGGGATTTTCAACATTTGATCTATTAAACTTTTGGTTCAGGGATTCCTTGAGATAAAGAAAATAAAAATTAATGAATATAGATACATTCATATAATAAAACATGTAGCCAAGGGCACTTGTGGGATTAAGGTTTTGATTGATCGGTAAACATATTAAAGAAAAAAGAAATAGAGACATAAGCACCCAAGTCGTAAGAAGATCTTATATTGACAAGGGAGTATAGCTAAATCCGAAGAGAGTAATTCACCTGATAAAATTGGCGGAAAGCAGCCAAATCAAAAAGTGCCTGCTTAGATGAAAGAAATTTAAGATTTTGAGTAGTATGTAATTTAAAGGGAGAGCTTTTTCCATAGTAGCGATGCTCAGGGGAAACGATAGCAGCACCGAACTTCTTAGCAAGAACCTGAAGTCATTGGCAACAACATCTCATGAAAATGTGTAGCAAGTAAACTAGGAATGGCATATGATACCAAACAAACAGCTTAAGTAACCCACGCTTAGATAGTCATTGGCAATTCCGTTACAAGAAGATTCACCACAAATTTTCAAGAAAATGGGCCCATCTGGGGCACGGAAGTAATCCAGAAACTCAAAGTACCTCTGCTCGAATTCACGATGGTCCTGCAATTAGTAAGATGATCAATTTCGTGTTTAAATTAAAACATTCAATAATTCATGTCTTAATTATAATTAAAGTGATACATACATAAGGGGAGAAGTGATCAAGGGTCTGATTGAACCAGTGCTCTTGTGTGGTCAAGTAATTGTTTCCGGCGTGCAGCAAACGGGGGTTTAGGTAAGACGATGACAGAGATAACTCACCCAACACCACCAACAACACCGCCATCCATCTTCTTCCGCCCGATTCCATCTTCAAACCCACGATTTCGTCGTCCTATCTTCCTCCTTTAGGGTTTTCTATCGTTTGCTTGTTTTTGTCGTTCCCCCCCCCCCCGCGGAAACTAGGGCTGTTTGGTTGGGGTATTCATTAAAGAGAATGGAATCAACTATTAGGGTAGAGCAGAAATTTTCGGGTACCCAGAATTGAAACCGGAATCGAAACCGGTTAGGAATCGGTGGGTCTAGAATCGGAATTGGACCCGGTGGTTCCAATTCCGGGTAATAAATTAAGGACTCGGTTATAACTAATACTAATTTCAATTCTCAATTTTTTGGAACCGGAACCGGTTGGATATCCGTTTACCTAATATATGTTAAACTAAAAAAATTTTAAATAATAAAAATATGTAGAATGTATCTAATTTGTAAATTAAAAAAGTATTATTAATACCTAACATAAATACAAATAGCTTATGCATATATAAATAAAAGTATTAAACGCTAAAAATGAACCTAATTAAAATAAGAATTATAATTTGTATATATTTTAACAATTACATACATAAGTGGGTACCCGGAACCGTACCGAGACCGGTACCCGGTGGTTCCAATATCAATTCCTAAATTTTAGGACCCAGTTGAACTAATTCCAATTTCAGGTTCAAATTTTAGGATCCGGTTCCAACCAATTCCAAGTCCGGGTCCTAAAATTTTGACCGGATACCTGGTTTGCTCACCCCTATCAACTACTATCATTTTCTTTGTTATTGTTTGTTAGGTTATTTTTCCATTCCCTTTTCCCTTTTCATTCCCCCAAATTCTTTGAAGTTGATTCTCCATTATTCTCTAGGTATTTCCATTCTAATTCCCCAGCCACCCCAACAACACCAACCATCCTACTGCCCAATCAAACCACCGTAAAACCTAGCCACTGCACCGTGACATTTACATTATTTTTTTTGCTAATTTCGATCTCAATTCGGACCCTTAAGAATTAAAAATGACTGCTTAAATCTTAACTGAATATTTTTTGACACGTAAACCGATGAAAAAGTAAAATTGGGCTGCAATCTACAATTTAATTTAAAGAACTTTTAGACTGCAATTTGCAATTATTTTTTAAATGACTACAATTTACAAATTACTAACTTTAAATAGGTATAATTTGTAAAATTTCAAAAAAAAAAAAAAAAAAAAAAAAGGATACATAGTCCGTAGTCATGCATAATGTTTAGTAACCAAGCACATGGGTGCTTGTATCAAAATTAGTAGTATTTGCTGGTCAAACAAACATAATAAAAGGGGAAAAATAAATTAATGTGGTCCCAAATCTAAAGGCATTTATGCTAAAATTATATGGATGGGTTGTGGATGGGAAATAATTTGGATTTGAAATTCTAACACCGCATTACTGGCAAGTGGCAATCTTTGACTTGGAATGTAAGGAAATTACCCAAAGACCTCAAAAGCCGATACTTAAAAGAGTATTTATTTTAAAACCAGGGTAATACTGTAATTTAGAAGCGCGCGGTAAACTACGGCGTAATGAGTGAATATTAAGTGAGACAGAGAAGATGAATGAAAATCAGAGGAGCTAAGAAGCAACAGTGAGACAGAGAGAGAGAATGGAGTGACACTCTACCCGCCCAACCAACTCAAGCAACAGGGCAAATCTCTCTCTCTCTCTCTCTCTTCTTTCACTTTGCTACAACCTTCTCTGATTTCTCTGCATTCTTCACATTTGGTTTTGGTATCTTGAAAAGTGTCGGTGCAAGCATTGGATCTTGGATCCCAGAATTGGAGTCGATGATGAATTAATGCCGACAAGGAGGAGAGAGAATATTGTGGAGTTAGGTAACTTATTCTGCTCTAAATAATACGGAGTACCTTCTACTTAGTAGTATTGTTTTTGTCTTCTAATTACAGTACCTAATTGTCTTCAATTCTTGATACTCCCAAGTCCCTATAATTACTGTTTTATAGAGTATATGATATCAACTAAACTCCAAAGTTGCGCCGTTACTTGTTTCAATTCTTATATATTATAACCCAGACTTTGTTAAATGTTTAGATTAATTATCTTTAAAACTTTGTGAAACGACAAGATGATCAAGGTGTAAAAGCTAAAAAAGAAGGGTGGCCGTAGCCGTGGCCCTGCCCCATGTGTTGCGCTAGTACACAGCAGACCATATGCCATTTTTATTTTTTTAATGGTTTATAGACAGACAAAAGTATTATATATATATATATATATATAGGGTTATGCTTTGGGAATTACAAACTAAAAAGGGGGGAAGGAATCAACTATGATCGATCTGTGGACTGTGGGAGGTGATAATTGAGTTTGGACTAGTACTACATTGTTAATTTAGAGTGTTGATTACATGTTTACAGACTGATAGGATGGCTAGTGCTGATGCTGAACAAGCCTCCAGCTGCCCCGACCCCGCCGAGGAGAGGATCTTGGTGTCCGTTCGTTTGCGTCCTTTGAATCACAAGGAAACTTGTAGGAACGAGCCACTGGATTGGGAATGCATCGATCATACCACTATTGTTTACAACAACAACAACTTATCTCCTGAGCGATCACTCTATCCAAATTCCTTTACATTTGGTATTCATATTTCATCAATCCTGCTTTCTGCCAGCCTTCTATTTTTTATACTAGTATATTAATTCCATATATTAGGCTATTGAAGTTGATAAGTGTTTTCATTATGCTCATCAATCGTTTTATGTGGATATACGGTCTACAGATGCTCTGCTCATCATCCTTATACTGGCAATTGCTTTTGATTTAGATAGGGTGTTCAGGTCTGATTCCTCCACAAGGCAGGTGTACGAGGAAGGAGCAAAAGCAGTTGTTCTTTCAGCTCTCAGTGGCATCAACTGTGAGCTCATCATCTTACGCATTTGTCAGCTTCTCTTCTTGTAAAGCTTGTTGTTTACCAATCCTGTTTTTGCAGCAAGTGTTTTTGCATATGGTCAAACAAGCAGTGGTAAAACATTTACCATGTCTGGGATAACAGAATATACTATGGAGGACATATTTAACTACATATACAAGGTGAAATCACCACTGCTTTTTAAGCTGCCTTTACCCAATTTCAACTCTCCACTTAAAGATGCCTGTATCCTTGTAGCACAAAGAAAGAGACTTCCACTTGAGGTTCTCTGCTATGGAGATTTACAATGAATCAGTTAGGGACCTCCTCACAGCAGATAACAGTCCCCTTCGCCTTTTGGATGACCCAGAGGTGATATTTCTTTTTATCGGACTATAATATATATATATATATATATATATATATATTTATTACTTCAAATAAAATAGTATATTGACTGGATGAGACCTCCCTCTTCATTATTCGGGTTTGCAATTTGTCGCATTTTCCCTTGCAGAGAGGTACGGTGGTTGAAAAACTTACGGAAGAGGTTCTGCATGACTGGAGCCACTTCAAAGAACTTCTTGCCATGTGTGAAGGTACAAAAATTTGATGTCCAAAATAACATGTGTTTTCATTGAATATTGGAGACTATATAAGCACCTTCTTTTATATTTGCAGCACAAAGACAGATAGGAGAAACTTTTCTGAATGAAGTAAGCTCGCGATCTCACCAAATTCTCAGATTGGTATGTTTTTCATCAAAATAAGGACTAGAAAATGACTCAGTGACTGACAAAATGTTATTGGCTCCTAAACTTACTGATTAGGGTGAATGAAAGAGGAACAAATTTTCAAGCTAATCTCATTTGATCAATCACTCTTGGTTTTTGCAGACAATTGAAAGTTCTAATCGTGAGTTTTTAGGCAAGAACAATTGTAGCACCCTTGCAGCTACTTTGGTAAGATTTGATATGTTGAACCAATTAAACACATGGTAGGGGCGGTAGCTTCTATGCAGTGATAATAGATAATGCCTCTCTTTTGATGCTCTTTTACCTGTCTGCAGAATTTTGTTGATCTTGCGGGAAGTGAACGTGCATCACAAGCGTTATCTGCTGGATCAAGGTTAAAGGAAGGATCACACATAAATCGTAGTTTGTTAACATTGGGAACAGTTATTCGCAAACTGAGGTGGTTTTATCTACTTCTTAGAGCTATTCTGGTTTACTTTGCAGATTGCTGTTTCTGCTCTTATTGTTTTTTTTCTCTTGTGTTTATTTACTAGTGATGTTCACCCTGTGCTCTTGTGTACAGTTCTTAACATCCCATCTCATATTTTTCTGTCAAGTGGCAATTGAAAACCCCAATTTTACAAGTTTTTTCACTGATGATTCCCTTCAGACAACATTAAAAGAGTAGAATCTATTGTTTTCCACTTTGCCTTAACTGTTAAAGGTCGGATTGCACATATTTCTTGGCTTAGAGCATTTCCACATTTTGTTCTCTCTATCCTGTTGCGTTTCTTCTGCTACTAGTTTAACTACTACGTTTTTTTTTTTTTTTTTTTTTTTTCTGCTCTTTGTTGCTATTATGGTGCATGGTAGGTCTCATAATACTTCCACTATAGTGTCCTTTGTGATTTTTTCTTTACTTGAACAAGGCGAGAGTCAGTCAATATATGATTACAAGTGTGTTACTGATATACATCGTATACTTCATGTACAGCAAGGGACAAACTGGTCATATTCCTTACCGAGACTCTAAGCTCACCCGCATTCTGCAATCCTCTCTGGGAGGCAATGCTAGAACTGCCCTCATATGTACCATGAGTCCTGCACGTAGTTATGTTGAACAATCAAGAAACACACTCCTTTTTGCAAGTTGTGCAAAAGAAGTTACTACTGATGCACGTGTCAATGTTGTCATGTCTGACAAAGCCTTGATGAAGCACTTGCAAAGAGAACTGGCGAGACTTGAGGGTGAGTTAAGGAATGCAAGCCCCTCTACCAGATCTGATGCTACTGACCAGTTAAGAGAAAAAGACTATAAAATAGATGAGGTATTTTTTTTAATGATCCAGCCACGCAAGAGAGCAAAAATATTATTTTGTTCTGTTTTAAGACATTGGATATGAACTGTGTTAGCGGTAGGAGCCAAACAGAAATCTGTGAACAATGCACTCACGTTATAAGCATGTTTGAGTACCAGTGTTACCTTCCACAATTAT